CTGGAAAAGAAAACTGTACAAAGAACTTTATATACACAGTCTATGCTTGCACCACTTGCCAGTTGTCTCTTATGGCATTCAAACTAGAAGAAAGTGCATGTATTGGGTTTGTATGAATTGTGCATTGAAATTTCTGGTGATTCTTTCTCACAAAGGCATATGGAATGGGGGTCATTTTTGGCCAATAAGACAATTATTAATTCATTTTTTAGTTAATTAATTTGTCTGCAACTGTTATGACAAAACAAACTTAACCCAAGAAACCAAGAAATTCACAAACCTCTAACAGAGTATTTAGTTATCTGATACATTACATTTGAAAATAAAATACACTGAATAAGTAACTGTTTTGTGCAGTGTTTTATTTTCATGATTATGCTGCTATATCTTTTGAGAATGCTAAAACACAGCTCCATGTTTGTTGTGTGTAGACATGGCGAGTAGTGAGCCTGAAGCTGAGCTATTTAATCTCCACATAAAACTGTTATGCCTGGATCATGGCTGTTTAGTTTAGCCAGGAGCTGAAGAACTGCAACACACATTATGGGCTATATGTGATTATAGCTTCATTTAATGCAAGTGTCCCATAGAACAGCTCAGACACATGGACCAGTTGTATGTGCGTGTATGCATATGTGTGCGTGTGTTTGCATGTGTGAGTGCGCATATGTGTGAGTGTGTACATATGTGTGCCTGTGTCCCATTCCACTGTTCCAGATGAAGAGAAATTCTCATCGAGTTCACTTTGGTGTCATGGTTGCTTCGGGGTGTTATAATGGCTTTGGTGACTAATTCAGTCACCCTATAGACATTTGTTCTGAGGGGGCACAACGTAACGTTTATGGTGGTTGGTATGTCACATATCTGAGACTCTGGAGATTGTATTGTATTGCATTATATTGTATTAAACTTGTCCATCTTGCATTTATTATTTTGTTTTTATTTCTCAAAAATACCATCAAAGACAAAAATGACATGCATGGCAGAGTTCCAAGGTGAAAGCCACTACTGACAAAAAGAAAAATAAAGTTTTGTCTCACTTTTGCCAAAAAACATCTTGATAATCCCCAAAGCTTTGGGGAAAATATTCTGTGGACTGATGAAATAACAGTTGAACTTTTTGGAAGGAGTGCATCCTGTTATGTTATGGCCCCAGGCCTTAGTTCTAATATTTCTGCAGAGTTCTCTTGATTCCTGCTGCACGAGCCCTGGTCTGTGATTGGTGGGGCAAGTCCACGCCCACCTCACCTGCAGCCACCGCCCCTTATTTAAGGAGATTGCCAGCACCTGTTTGGGGCTGCTGGCCTTGGTGGCCAGTATGCCATTTTGGTTTCGTGTTTGTGTAGTTTAGTTTAGTTCTGTTTTGTGCCTTTTTTGATTTGGTCACTCGATTCTGTTTGTGGGTTTATGTGGTTTAATTTGGGGAACTTGTGTTTTAGTTTAGTGTGTGTCCCTAAGTTTTACCACTCGTTTTTGTGTAAGCCTTTTGTGGCACAAAACTCTGTTTATTCTGTTGTTCTGTTTCTTAGTTTAGGTTGTTTTCTGTATATTTTTAGTCTTCTGTTAATTTACCTTTACATTCCTGTTAATTAAACATTATTTAATTTATTCCATTTTACATCTTGGTTTTATTTTTGTTACTTCCCTCACCCCAAACGAGCTGGGTCGTAACAGTTACATCTGGCTTAAAATTAACACCGTGTTTGATAAAAAGAACAACATGGCAACAGTGAAACATTTTTGGTGGTAGTGTCATGGTTTGGGGCCGCTGTGTGGTTCAAGACCTGGACAATTTGCTGTGACTGAAGGAACCATGAACTTTACCAACAAATGAAGGAGAATGTCTGGCCATCAGTTCATGACCTCAAGATGAAGCACACTTGGGTTCTGCAGCAGGACAATGATCCAAAGAAGAGTGGGCCCAAATTCCTCCACAGCGATGTGAAACACTCATTGCCAGTTATCACAAACCCTTAACTGCAGCTGCTAAGGATGGTCCGACCAATTATTTGGTTTAGGGGGCATTACTTTTTCACACAGGCCATGTAGGTTCTGATGGCTTTTTTCCCCTTAATAAATAAAATCTGCACTTAAAACTGTATTTTGTGTAATTAAGTTTGCTTGATCTGAAATGGCTAAGAGTGACAAAGGTGCAAAAAAGTAAGAAATCGGTAAGGGGGCATAGTTTTTCACAGTACTGTAACTTGGCCGGGTGGCATGGTCTCATCTACTTTTCTCCGTCCATGGAGATAGAATAATGTAATGTCATGCTGTGGAACATTTTAGGCAAAGCAATGGCATCTCCATGGGGACAAACAGGTGGTCTTGTCCAGAAGTTACAGGTGCACCTTAAAAACAGTAACTGAAAAGGTAGTAAAAATATTTTGTCTTTTTCCATTTCATTGTGACAACACTTTTTATTACTGTTCTGAGTGATACATTTCACACAAGTTTGTGCCTTCTGTATACAAACTACATAAGCAATCTGATAATAAACAGAATATGTTGTGCTAATGGACACAAAAATAAGAAAACACAAAGGGTGCAATATATTAAATTTATGATGATGATGATGATGATGATGATGATGATTATTATAATTATTATTATTATTATATTAAAACACAAAATGTTTTTACATTTTCAACATGACTAAAATATTCCCTCTGCATTTCCTTGACAGTGCTAAGTCTGTGTTTATTATTCTTGTGTGTTTGGCAAAAACACAGTAATTTCTCGGGGGAACTTTGTGAGGTCGCTCCCAAACACTGCAACAACAGACGTTCATAATTCACATCTGGGAAACAGGCCTCACGAGTAATAGATGCACAGAGAGGCTACAAACTCATTAGTAAAAGCACTTCCTCCAAAGGGTTTTCCAATCTAAGATGGGTAGTAGAACTCTGTAATTAATTGGTTTCTGTTCAGGTTTGAAAGACAGAATAACATTGTTGTTGTATTACACAGCTCTAAAATAGAGATTAAAGATTACACATTTCTAGCTTCAAAAGTCAGTATTGGTTTACTAATACTGGTTGCAGTGGTAGAGGTTGACTACTTCTTACTGATATCATGTTTTTTGTGGAAGTTAAAGCCACAGTTTGTAACTTTTAATCCTAAAAATAGAAAAGTGTGTTTGTTGTTCTGATCTTATTCGGCCACTTAATCTTTCCTGCAGACATGAGACCAAGTCATTGATTTGCAAGTCTCAAGTAAGTCTCAAGTCTTTGACCTCAAGTCTGAGTCAAGTCCCAAGTCAAATACAAGAAAGTCCAAGTCAAGTCTCGTGTCACTGGCTCATAAGTCCAAGTCAAATCCACATCATCTGCGTTGAGCTTCAAGTCATTTCAAGTCTTTAAACCAAAATACCAAAAAGAGCTTAGATTTTTGTAATTTATATGATTTTTAAATGAAATTGTACTTAAAAAGTCATGGTATATTTATATATGAGTATTTATAGAGTATATAAGAGTTGTAGAAATGCTTTTTTTTTCCCTTTTTAAATGTTTTAACAAGATCTGAGTGTAAATCATTACATCAGAATAGAAAGAATTAAGATTTTAAAGTGCTTAATATCAGTTATTTTGTCGTGTAGTCTGCACTGAAATAGAACGATTGTGGTCTATGTAGTTCCTTCTGTTTTACTGTATAGTACTGTATATTACTGTAGTACATTTGAGTATCACAGTACTTCAGTTCCATCCAAAGTACCAAATAGAAGTGGGAGGGACATGTTCCAGTTTGTTCCTGTAAAATTCAGCATCACATTTATCAACTGTAAAGAGAAAAGGATTTTATAAAAACATATATTTTGGGGGGGAAACATCAAGTCTTCTCAAGTCACAGGCCTCAAGTCCGAGTCATTGAAGTCCCAAGTCATTGATTTTCAAGTCCAAGTCAAGTCCCAAGTCGTAGTATTTTATCAAGTCAAGTCTCAAGTCCTAAAAATAGTGACTCAAGTCTGACTCAAGTCCAAGTCACGATTTGCAAGTCCCACCTGTGCTTCCCAGCAAGCAACATTCTCCACTATCCTCCCTTTCCACAGTTTGATTTGACTGATATCATTTTGAACTGAGATGACATCTACTTAACTACAGATTCATGTTCTAAGTTTGGCAGTTTTCTGACCTAGAGCCCTTTGAATCATTATGGTTTTCTGCACCATGGGTAAACAAATAAGTTCTTCTCTTCTCATTAACAAATTATAGAGTGTGAAGTAGTTGAGTAAGTGTACACAATATGAAGGTCAATTGATGTGTTTGTGTGAGGATCGATGCACAAGGTCCCAGGTCGGAGCTCTGAGGGGCCGCACTATATTATGTCAGGACATCAATGATGACGCACTAAATTATTCCCATCGATTGACCTCACACTCATACTAATGTGCATAATAGAGCACACTGTGTAATGACATGTGAGAACCGAGAGGGAAGATGTACTCGAGTATCCAACTTCTCTCAAACAATAATAAGCATACACTTACGTGGATCGGGTGTGTCACGATAATTACTATATTGACTTTCATATATTAAAGTTTGAACAACAATTTTTTGGGGTCAATATTTATCGTGGGGACATTTTCTTTGCACTACTGAGAAATTTTTGGTCATTTTTAGCTGTGATAAGATTTGACCTGCAAAAGGTTGAATAAATAACTTGACTATGACTCATTATAGATGCAAAAAGAAGTGTTTGTATTGATTTGAATGTGTTTCTTATTCTGCAAAGCACTTTGAATTACTTTGCTTATGAATTGTACTATAAAAATAAATTGGCCTAACCGTGCCTATGTCAACTACTTAAAATAAAGTTAGACTAGAAAGCACAATTCCCTCCACATAAAGGGTGAATACAGTATAACCTGTATAAATAGTTGTGATTCCTCTCCACACTGACTTTCTCTGGGACAGTCTATGTGCCTTTCACGTGAAGTTCAAGTTGGCATTAATTTAGGCCATTTGTATCAGGAGAAAATTTGTAAATAATGCAAAAATTCAAAATCGAGGTAGAAAATGATAAAATCTTTTAATAAAAATACATTTGTTTAATCGGCAGCATGGACTCTTTAACAAATCAATCCACGAAACACAAATTGTACAGTATACAGAACACAGACGTGTAGAGAAACACACTTGAAAAGACACAAAAATACTAACTACTTACACATGTCCATAACACAAATAAGGATTGACTTTGGGTTCAGTTCTTGTATTGGGCCTACAGCAGCATGGTATCAGACAGACAAACATAGTAAAAACAGTAGATCCTGTGGTCCTGTTTAAAGAACTCCAACTAACTGGAAATTACAGAGACATTTTAGGTCCAAAAAGTCACAAAAACACAAACGTCAAAAAGATGGACAGTATGCACAGTGTCATTATTGCACATAGGACAAAGCTTTTACAGAAAGTTGTCATTTCAAAAAACACTGTACATCTTTTTTTTATATATATATAAATAAATATTTTTTCAACACAATTCAGCGCCTTTTAATTTACTCAAGGCATTCAGTTCCATTCTTAGCAGAGACAAAAAGTTTTGCTGTTCTGACACAGCTCTAATACCATGGGAAAGTTGAAAGTCGGGTGGTTACTTATACATTTGATTGGATTTTTAAATAATACTGAGACTGTGTGATGTGAATTTAAAAAAAGGAGGGCAAAATCAAGTCAAACTTGCTCATTATAAAATAGAACTTCTCCTCAAACATCTTGGGTCTGTAACGTAGAATCCTGGCAGTCTATGTTTGTTATATAAATTACTGCAGAGCCAATATCGCAGTTACACTTTTAAGTGATGATAATGGGACAAGGGTGCGTAGCTTGGATAAATCGCGCTACACTGCTGTTGTGAAGTGCAGACACATGCAGAAAACACAAAGTTGGCCGGAGACTGGAGCTGATGCATGTAAAGTTGTGTGGCTAAGTGCTTACAGACGGAATAGAGCAATCTGGTGGGCCATAAAAAGCACCACGCTAAAATACGCCTTGTTAATGCGTGAGATGTCGGCCCCATTACTCATTAGATACCACTGAGAACTTGTAGAAACAAATGTATACAGACAAGTAATGTAGCGTGTCCAAGTGCAAAAATGATTCAACCCCACAGCAACACGTAGCAGACTGCATATGAAATACATGTTTATGATTTGGTGCAAATCTGTAGAAATCTCATTTTCCTTCATTGATAGACAGGGCAGTCCTTGGATGAAGTCTATAGTTTATGCAAGTCCTTAAGCTCCTGTCACCGTCTGCAAATGAGAAAAAAAAAAAAAAAAGAAAAAGCTGGTTATGTTTACTGTACAATTTTGATCTTGAGTGTAAGATTAATTGCTCAAAGCTCTTCTCCCTTCTCGAAGTTCAAATTAGCCTTGGCAATAGGCATTCACTTTTTTGGGTGGTCAAAAAAGATTCACATATACCAACTGCCATTAAAAAAAGAAGACTGAAACTACACTCCTATTTGAAAAAGTTAAATCTGACCTATACTGAGTAGTTTTAGTATGCTCTTGATCTTAATCTATTAATTATAAGCATAGCTAATATTAGACCACAGTATAATTATAAAAAAAAACTATATTCTACTGTTAAAAAAAAAAAAAAAAAAAAAAAGCATTTTATTATCTCTGTGGTATTAGTATAGATTAGTAGATTGTCATGCTTTCTCATGAGTTTGAAATGTTAGTATTGCAACACCACCATTTTAAAGTGACTGATACTGTACCTTTGCCTTGTTGTAGATCCATAGTTGTCCAACATCTGGGTACTGGCCACCTCCAAGTTCCAGTCGCACATCTCCAGGAGCTTCAGACACTCTGCCCTGCTTCTGAGGCCCAGACAAAACAACTGCTCCACCTGCACCACAGCCACAAGAACAATTAAGAGAAAATACAAGTGCTGGATCACTGTGGCCAAATGTGCTGCCAGCTTTCAGAGACACAGCACTGTTCCCCCGGGCAGAGGAGTGTCCAAACACAATGTCTCCCATTAGTGTTGTAAGTACAGCTAATGATGAGGCCGATGGGACTCCTCTGACATCCAGCTCTGTCACCAGTTTATGTTCATTGCTGCTTCAATTGTCCCATTTTAAAAGATAAACACATTACGTCACATATACCTCTACCTGTTCACAGTTCTATGCTTTCAAATACATAAAGATAATGGCTTAAAGAAGCGGTCTCCAAGGGCACAGCCCAGAGTATCTCTTATGTTTTACTGTTCACTTTAAAAGCAGAGTCTCAGAATGGTCCAGATGAGATTTACACAGAAACGCCACCATAACAAGCCTTTAAGCCTCATGTTAGTCTCACCTTCAGGTAGTGCACAGCCTTCTGGATGCTCCAGCTGTGGTTCTGTAGCGCCGCCTGGCACTCCTCTATTGTTACTCCATGGACAGCCTCCTGCACCTAATTAAAGATAACACACAAGATGCTCTAAAGGCTTTTACTGATATCACTAACATTTATACAGACTTTAATTAGGAGCCTAACAGCAAGGCTAAAGGTCAATTGCCCAGATACATTAATTTAAATACTAATGCATTAGATTTCCTTCACATTTAGAAACCTTCATCATTTCAATGTTCAGTGTGAATAATCCCACTCTCCACTGGCTCAGTGGATGAACATATCAATACAAAGGCTCGGAGTGAGTTTAGCTCAAGTTCAATATGGTTCAATAAGAGAGGGAATAATTAACTGCCAATATTATTTTTCACTTCAGCTAAGCCTCTTTAATGTTGTCCTTATTTCTGGTGATGAAAAACAAATCTACATACCCCACTGTTTTGTACTTATAAGTATAGTGTTTTTGGCACAGACAAATAATTTGCTGAATTTGAGTCAGATTCAAGCACCAGAACTTCCATGAGGTGCAGTCATACTCACTTTCTCAGAAAAAAGAAACAGTATTTGATTTTGTTTAGCGCATTTCTCTGTACTGTAATAAATGGCATTTCATAGAAACATATATATTATTATAGATTTAAAGCATTATATTAATATATAAAGTAATTCTGTGATCTTACCATTCTAATCAGGTCAGCAGAGGGCACGCCTTCCTCTATCCGCGGACAAGACCCAGGTGTGTCTGTACAGACTCTAGGCAGGCTCACAGAGGTCTTAATGCCTGAACGCAAACCCCCACTGCTGCTGGTGGGCAGATTAGGCATCTGTCCAGAGCAGTGTCCTGGGAGGGTGTGGCTGTTGACCACCATGGGTTTGACAGCAGCCATGTTAGGGTGGCGGCCTGTTCGCTCCTCCACAGGGCTGGATGGGAAGCTCTCAGCCTCCCTAAAGAAGCGGTCATAGCGGTCGAGGTATGGAGGTCTTTCTGGCAGCAAGTAATAATGAGTGTTACTGACTTTGCGACCGTCCCGGACAATGGGCAGAATACAGGGGCCCTTATTGGAGGACTCCTTCCCCTGGGCCTGAATGACTTTGGGAGCAGCGTATTTGGGATCCGAGGCAAAGCTGTGTGTGGTGGGCATGGTCTTGGCAGGAGATGTGGAGAGGTAGGACCCATAGTTGTGAGACAAGGGGCAGGAGTTGTGGGACTGTACAGCTGTAGGACTGATGGAGTACACTCGAGGAGAGCCCATCACCAGGCTCAGAGGACTGGGGGTTCGGGAACCTGATAAAGGGTCTCTAGGGGGGATCTGAGGAGGTCTCTCCTGGTCTGGGACTGACTGCTCCTCTGTAAGCTCAGCTGGAGAGGGTGACAGAGACAGGTCCTGGGACCAGCGAGAACCAGAGTAGTCTCCTCTCTTTATGGGTCGTGGGGGTATGGGCACACGGGGAGGAATGAGAGGTTTGTCATCATTACAGAGTGGGGTCAGGGGGGTCAGGGGGGTCTGAGCACCCGAGGCCTGTGAAGGAGAAGTGGAGTGAGCAGGAGCCACAGGCACATGTAGCCTCCTCATACACTCCTGCTGCAGCTCTTGGAAGATCTCTGCAGACTGTGAGAACGCACTGGAGCAGCTCTGCTTAGTGGGAAGAAACAGATTGTCCTCAAGGCCTGGTTTGTATAAACTACAGGGGGCCCCAGGCTGGTCTTCTGTGTTGTGTCCAGAGATCAGCGGCTGCTCCTCTCTGTACTGCTGCTCAGTGCTATTGATAGAGCTCACCTAAAATCAAATACATTATAATTTTAAATCTAGTTAATGTTAATGATAGTATTTCTTTGAAGAAGAAGTCATACTTACTTCCATATCATCTTCATCCTGTGCTACATCGTCATAGGCTGGAGGAGGAGGCAGCGGCCGGGCGTCCCAGTCCACCACAGGGGTGGGGTGCAGGGGGCGGGGCAGGCTTCTGGAGGGGCTCTGTGGAGGTGTTCGGTCCAGTATATTGTCTGCTTCCAAAGCCAGCCTGGCCAGTGTGGGGATGTGAACCTCTACCACAGGAGAGGGGGAGGGCGCTGGGGGGGAATACTCCTCCCCAAAGTCAATAAGTGATACTTCAGAGTGATTTGGGTTTTTTAAGCCCTGTTTTGAAGCTGACACCCAGACAGCAGGTTTAAGTTTCAACCCTTTGATAGAGCCAGTTTTACGGAGGGAGAGTCTCTTGAGTCCTGCTGAAGTCAAATCCTCCTCCTCATTTACAGGATCATAACAGGGCTCTGAAAAGGATAAAGTAAGTTAATTTAAAAAAAGATCATGCCATGACTTATCTGATGGCACTTGATTATGTCTTCTTGTGGCTGAATGGGTCAATTAAAATGTAATGAGCCTTTTATCAAAAGGAGCATTGATTAATTTAAGCCTGACACAGCTATAAACATATGTGGTTTGAAGTGCCACAGCATTATTTCAATAAACTTTGCATCTGACAGAATTATGATTAATTTGCTGCCTTATAAATCACATAAAGTCACATGCCATTTGGACATGCACAGGCTCCTGGTTAGGCCTCACGGCAATAACACTGCAAACTGTTTTAGACTGACAGAGAAAGATATTAAAGAGATGAGGAGATGGAGGAGAAGAGAAAGGTTGACACTACACCACAGTCGCAGCACTCACAGACAGGAGCTGTACCTCTAAGGAGTGGAGCTAAGAGGGAACAGAGGGGGCAGGAGCAATGGCTGAGGAGCTGCTCCGAGACACCAGACTTACTCTTGATTAAGACAGGCGGTTGGGGCGGGCGGGGAGGGGGCTCTTCTGGAGAAAATAAAAACCATAATACCAGCGCCGCACAGAGAAGAGAAAACAAAGAAGAAAGAAAGCAGCAGTGACGGTTGAGGGATAAAAGCACAAAGCAAATGTCAGAGCCAAACTTTTAAGAGAAAGTGTAAACAAAATTATTTCAGAAATTATTCCCCCTTTGGCATTTGTTCTTATGGTATTTCTGACTTTTCTATATTATTTATGTTATGATGACTCACTTTTGGATCGTCCTGGAAGCTGTGTGGGCCGAGTGCCAGTGAGATCTGAAGCCAGGACGTCCGGGGGATCCATGGGGTTACCGAGGTATAAGCTGAAATCACAGTACAGGTTTAGACCTGTATATCTCATACAATAGTCCCTAAAATAGTGTGCTACTGCCATCTAGTGGAGGCACATTCTCATCACCAGTGCTTTTGCTGATATCATTTTCTCAGCTTTTAGAGAATTGTAAGAACATAACTACTTTTTAGTCCAACAACAAGCAAATGTGTTTACTTTTCAATGAAGAATCAAGTGGACTACAATTTAGACATTACATCATTTTTTCCACTCCTGTTCTAAATCAGGTTATATCAAACTCATCTCTAAAAAGCCATACTCGTCTATTCGGTCGGGGAAGCCCCAGCAGCGGTGTGGGTTGGTGTCTCCGTGTCCCGTGTGGATGAAGCTGTTTTTCAGAGGCCGGCTGATGTCATGAGCTGATAAACCGGCCACAGAGGTCACTACGTTTCTGGGGAACTGCCCAACTTTTAAAGTGCGCTTGTTTTGTCCACGCCACCAGTAGTTTTCAGCCCTGAAACAGAGAGGTGGCACAGGTGAAGTTGAATGTACTTGAGTTTATACATTTTTTGGGTTAAAAGTTTAGAAATAGTTGTTACCTTCCCTCAATGATGGTGATGACATCATTGATCTGGATTAGAAGTTTGTCAGGCTCCTCAAAGTCCTGCAGGGCGCACATGTCTGTGGGCATGGTCTGAAACAAGTGTGGTCTGTTTATTAAGTTATATTATACTATATATATGGAAGGTGTTCTTTGAACAAAATATAGTTTAATGACTCAAGACTTAAAGGTGTACTGCAAATATTTTATTGAGTGGCTTGCCCAGGTGAGGTCTTATTTCTTTGCAGTTCCACAGTAAGAACAGTGAGAAAGACAACACATATTTAAATAAATATTAGATATATAGGTTTAATGCTATACTATTAAAAAGGCAATACAGACATATCCATATAGACAAGCAAATGGCAGACCCTCCATAATTTTTACTCACTATTAGACAGAACTGAATTTACAATCCATTGAAAGAATGACACGACTTAACCAACCCATACCTCAAGAAGAAACTCACGAAGTGCAACAAACGTGGGTCTGTCATCTGGTTTCTGAGCCCAGCACTGAAGCATAACATTATAAATATCCTGTGGACAATCCTCTGGCTTCGGGAGGCGCTCTCCTTCTTTGTCTATTTTGTGAAGAATCTAAATTTGAAGGTAAAATAAGTCTTAAAATAGATTTGGTTTGGTCATTTAATGCCATTGGATATGGGTACCTGACTTCCATTGAGTCCCAACCATGGCTCTTGCCCATGAGTGAACATCTCCCACAGAGTCACTCCAAACATCCAGGTGTCAGTCGCATGTGAGAAGGTTCTTGTCTTCAGACTCTCTGGAGCACACCTGTAGAAACACAATCACTTAAACTACAGGCACAAGGAAACATCAACAGATGTAATCACGCGTACTGTATGTTCCATACTGTACTCTTTGGTAATTTGTTCACCTACCATGCAAACGGGACCTTGCGATGCTCCTGCATGACGTAGTGCTCGTCGTTGTTGGGTAACGCCCTCATGAGGCCAAAGTCTCCAATCTTCACTTTATGTGCGGAGGCCAGAAGAATGTTCCTGAGGATGCACAACACAAATACCAAGAATGTAATCAATAATTTCAAACAACATCAAACAACTTTTATAACATGAGAGCATGACATTTAAAATAACAATGATGCCATACTTTATACTGCCATAGCATGTTTTAATCATTCCTGATTAAACTCTCAAATAACAGCCTGTTTTGTACTGAAACTGTGGGCAATTCTGAGATTTTAAATGTACAGGCTTATTTGCCCTAAAAAGCTCTCCACCCAGTGAAGCCAGCCAAACAGTGACTCATTTTTATGAGCAAACCCTCATTAAACCAAAGACCCTTATGTAAAACTTTTGCACTTCAACAGTCTGACTTAAATAGGTGCCTAAATAAAGAGCCAAGTGTTGGGGGCTGCGGGCACACACCTGGCTGCCAGGTCTCTGTGGATGAACCTCCTCTGCTCCAGATAGGCCATGCCACAGGCCACCTGCACAGCATACTGACACAGAGTGTGAATGAGCACAGGGCCCTGAGGGCGCACACACCGCAGACGCTCTAACAGAGAGCCCAGAGGAGCCAGTTCTGTGACCTACAACACAGAGCAGGCAAGAAAAACAGATTTAGCACCAAAAAGTCAGACTTTTATTTAGCTCTAACATCCACCCTTCCTTTCAGCCTCCACCCAGATTTTTTTTATTAGTAAAACAGCTGGCAAAAATGTGTTCTTATGTGTACTTGCTTAAATCCTTAAATGTTTGGGTTTCTTCATTGCATTAGTTCCTCACCATCTTCATGGGGTGTGTGAGCACTACACCATAAAGGCGAATGAGGTTTTGATGGTCCAGGGAGTGCATGGCATTGACTTCACAAATAAAATCCTCCAAGGCGTCTGGCTGGCTCAGCACATCTGTTTTTAGACACTTCACAGCAACATTTAGCTAGAAAGAGAGTGTAAAAATAAAACTTCACATACTATTACTATTGCCTGATATAATACACATAAATAGTGGTCATAGATGGTGCTATAAAACAAACATCTAAATAAATATTGCAAAAAGAATAAATGTACTCCTGTTTACCACTTTTCCTGCTGGTGTTAGCCACTCCCCCCTCTTCACAACCCCAAAAGAGCCATCTCCCAGTTTCTCAAATAGAGTCAGATCTTTCTCTGGGATGAGACAGGTGAGTGCCTGCTGCCCCTCCAGAGCAGCAGTGCCCCCAGTCTGAGCAGCCAGGACTCCCTCAGCCAGGCCCAAAGGGGGAGTGGGGGACAGCTTTCGGAAGGAGGACACAGGCTGGCCCTGCTGAGGGAAGTCTCCTTCTGGGCGCTTGCCACTGAACACCTGGATGACAACGGAGAATAATATTTATTATAGAATCTCAGGCTGGTTTCCTAATAATGTCAGGATATACAGTCCATGGTCAAAATCAGATTCAGTATTTTGTCCATGGACAGACCTTCAAGAGTCTTGTTTAAGGACACAATCACAGTATTAACTGGAGAAGCCAGGGACTGCCAACTCAAGTGGACAAATTATATCTATTGATCACTGATAATAATAAAGTTAATAATAAGTTAATAAAAAGTTTAGATAGATCATGAGACAATGTTGTTAAAAAGCATGTCTGTAACCTACAATGTTAACAATGTTACAAAATGGGGGCATTTTATACTGGAGAATTACACAGAATTACTGAATATGATGCACTGAATAATTACTCATTCAGTTATTCATTCATTCATTTGTGTTGCACCATGTCACTGAGGCAAGTTCCTCGTTTGTGAATTTTGTTCACTGACAATAGCAATAAAATGTATTCGATTCTGAAAGAAATTTTTATTACAATATTCAAAATGTATTTCCTGGCTTTATACAATCATTTTAATGTGTGAATGAGCACCGTGTGCCAACCATATTTAACTGGATATAAACAGTGGCGAGACGTGTGCGGTTTCACATTTACACTGACCCAGACATGACATAAGCTTTGAAAACACTGCATCCCTGTGGTCAGCCCCTCAGAGAGTGTGAGCTTGTGCTGCTGGTAAGTGGGCCTCAAATAGGTGTCTGTGCCTCAGAGTATTTCTGATGACACTGCAGCATGCGCACAGCGCTGAGGCTGAGGAGGCCGGTTATTACTGAGGGAAGACATGCCGAGTAGGAGGCACACAGGTTTCATTATAGATCTCCACACATGCAAATAGCCTTTTATGTGTTTTTGATACAGTTTAAAACCTTTAGATACTTGTGTCTGTCAGTGTAGTGTAAATGCAAATTGTTCTAATAATTAACTACTGTCTGGTTAGCCCTGAGTCTCAAGCAACTTTGAACAATAAATTTCAAACTACTCAATTCTACTTTTAATTACCCAAGCACCTTTGTATAACACAGCACACACAGCATGCATATTATTTTTGATGTCTGTACCTTGCTCATCCAGGACTTGCGCTTGCACATTGCCTTCCGTCTTTTTACAGCTTCCCACAGTCGCCTTTGCCCTTTAATGGGAAACCAAAATAAAGACATTGTAGACATTCTTATCTTATCAATGTAACATAATAGAAAAGCAAAAGGAACAGGGAAAATGTTACATATGGCCACAAGTATGAACACATTTATTTACATTTCCCTATTTATGTTGAAATACCACACTTTGACCGGCAAAGGACAGCAGCTTATTAAATTACAACTGTGCTTTTACCTGGGCGGCCCATGCCAATCTTCTCCAGATCTTCATTCTTGACATAATCAAAGTGAGAAAGGCGTGTGACGTTGAGCTCATCCCGGATGCGCAGGAAATACTGCTGCAGCTGCACCTCCATCAGCAGCTCCAGCAGCCATTCTGTGCCTTCCTCACTCTGCATGCCACTGCCCAGCTTCTGCAACAAGGTAAGCAGCTATGTTAAGTTTGAGACACAAACCAGTGTGGTCCACTATCAACTATAGAGATCTACAAACAATGATGTTGGTTTAAACTGGATATGACTCTTTTGCCTGGATGCTCTAATTTGGTTAATACTTGGCATGAAAAAATATGCTTTAAATGAAACTCTATGTTTTAGTATCGTGTGCAAAACATCTTTCAAAACTGTTAGCTGCTTGAGAAAGTTAAAAAACTGATTTAATGTTAATGCTGTGCTTTAGTGTTTAAAAAAACAGTACAGTGACATGGACAACATGACCACAACATTAAAGGTTTGTAGATTTTGAGGTAGCTGAGGTACAGACATGTCTGCACATCATAAATGTCATCAACAGCAAGGTGTTAATACAAAAGATACAGTATCCACCACAGCACTGGAGCCATCAGTCTTCCATGTCAAAACTCACTTTTCAGCTTTAAAACCTCATCATTCACTGTCAACTAATGAAAACTAACTCCAACAGGAAAAACGTCATTGTTCTTTGGATTCAGAATTTATAGCTTCACTATTACACTGTTGCTTAATCTCTGGAGAGTGACAGGCAGACCTTAAGGGCGGAGGGCTGGGGGCAGAGGTCACTTTACTGAACAGTAATTAGACACAGCCTGAATGGACTACTTCCTGTGCAACCTCCATAAAGGTCTAGAGAAAATGTCACAGGGTGCAGAATCTTGCTTTCATTTTGACCTCTTAAATGGGCTGGGTATAGGTCACTTCCTATTACTTAGCAAGTCCTGCCCTGTCAACTTGTGTGTCCGTGACTGTATAGATTTGAACAGAAAGTCAAATGTCAGAATAGGGGAATGTTACTTAAGACAACCAAAACACCGTGCACAGTGATCAAACTTTAAGACATAAAAATAAAAGAAAAGTATGTGGACTAGATTCATATTTTGTAGCAGGGTTTACATTCACAACAGGTCATCCATCCCAAAGTTGGAATCAACTTGTTTTTCTCAGGTTAGTGTCAAAAACATTAAGTTCCTGCCTGGGCCTCTTTCCATGTGAGAGTAATATCTAAAGCATGATGAGTTCAAATGCAGGTGCTTGTATTTGCACGAGATTTATCTCTCCCCTGTCAAAAACATATTTCACCCCAAATCAACAGAGAGATATTAAGTGACAACAAAAATCTATAATAATAAAAAAGGCTATAGAAAAGACAGGGGGTGTAGACATTTAGAATGCAGTGAAACAACATGAGGTCCCTGTGAGAAATGCCTCTAGTCTGAACTCATTCCTCATGCTCCTGCTGAACACACAGAGCCATGTATTCCATCACAAACTCCACATCCTGCTGCAAAAACAAGCAGCTCCCAGAGGACGGCTGCAGTCACACCCCCACAAACAGCACTTTTAATAGACAATGTTACAGCCACAAACTCCACTGTGTCAAGAGTATATTAACACACACATAAAACCTACCCGATACACATGGAAATGGGCTAGGAAGGGGAATGTCTTCTTCAGCTTGTCAATACGCCGCATGCTTAGCTCCTCAGTCCATCATCTGTGCGTTTAAAAGGTGAGAAGAGGCAGCTTGTGTCACAAACCATCAGTCTGGTCTCAATGCTCCCACACAGTGCCCCTGGTTTCTTTCCATAGACAAGCCTGTGTCCCAAATCCAGACCTGAAAAGGGAAGACAAACTTCCTTCTATCGGCATATTTCCACTACATTCCATAGCATGGCAATCCTTGGGAGAGCTCCATTTTCAACTGTCTTCTTCCAGAAATCAAGGAACATGAAGCCAAAGCTGATACAGAAAGTTGTAGTTTAGAATCAAGAAAAACACCTAGGCAGGAGTTGTGCAGTGAAGTCATGTGTCCTCCTCACACAACTATGATACAAACTTGCAGAGCTACGCCAATAAGTCACTCCTCTTCCTCTCTCCTTTCATCGCCCCCTCCCTCTCTCTCCCTCTCTCGGCACATATAGCTACTGTCTATTTGGCCTTCCATCCCTCCATCAAGCATGGGACTAAAAATAACTCCGATCTCTCACTGATTCAATGGCTCTGCACTTGGGCAAGAGATTCAAAGTGTCTCCTGTTTCACATTTTATGCCACAGCGACAAACTGGGTGTCTGGCTGCCTTCAGAGAACAATTATGCACGCTTGCACTGTCAGCTGATCCACTAACTCGAACAGCTCAGTCTTGTGTACATAGCAGGACGTAGCAACCAGCAGGTGACCTACTAACTTCCCCTTAGCTGTCTGCAGAGGTCCTAAGCTGCTGTTTTGGTATCTCCTCCCATCTCCCTCTCTCTCTCTGTCAGTACAGGGGCAGAGCAGTGCGTGGTGGAGAGGACAGAGGCTTCATGGTATTCGGCCCAGAGGAGCATTTGATCGAGGGCCAAGGGGTCACATTCAGCTGTAGGACGGAGAGCTGTTTCCTGTGATGCAACCCCCCTCCAGCTCAATCACAGACACACTGTCTTCAATTCCCATTCACTAGCCATGAAGTTTACCTTGAGTTTGTTGCGTACTATTGGTTATAGAGCTACTGAAATAAGACAAAACAGGACTAAAAAGACCAAGCCATATCTGGACTAAAGCTAGATACAAATCAGGGTGAAACTGTCAACTATACTGAAAGTATTTTATTTCATAACAGCTAGAAATAGAATAGAACAGAACTTTATTTGTCTGTTTCAAGATACAACAGTTATTCAGGCAAATAAGACAGTTACACACATGACTAACAGTGTTCAGATGTTGAATTCATTTCGGTCATTTTAATCCAGTATGTGCTTCTGACAAAAGTTGGCCCCCATACTTTCGCCATTGCAACTTCATTAGTGTAACCACTAGGGAAGTAAATTACATTTGTTGATTCAGTTATTCTCAAAGATTGAAATATAAACCCTAAAGAGCTTCCTCATGAGACCCTGTTGCCCTCAGCCTACACTGTCTGGGCCTAATTCCTTCCTTCCTCTTCTTATGCTCACAGTCCCTGCCCCTAACCCAAAGTGTTGCATTTTCTTCTTTATTTGGTGCTTGCTTTATTTCCTGCCTCTAATCCACTAAAAATGCCATCTCTCCCCCTCAGCAGACTATAAACAAACTCTTATGCACCGCTCCAGTAGCTTAAACAAAGCAGACATTCATTGTTATTTTGCAAAGTCATTTTGGGCAGTATTTTTTTCTTTTGAGAGGGATCAAAGTAGGGTTGTACAATTAATCAAATTTTAATCGAGATATAGAATAACTTCTAATCGTAAATGATCAGCCTGGGTACACAGCCAGTCTTCTGTAAGTAAAACATGTGGTTTGAAGCAGAGTTCAGAGAAAAAGGGAAATAATTCTTCTGTTTTATAACACAAAGCCCTAGATCAAAGTCATTGTGCTAGTCCAAACCTTAGGAACACAAACCAACTGCCATCATCAAAAAAAAGGTAGTAGGACAAGAAAACCGTAAGCTAGATGAAACAACATCCACACGCGTTTAACAGAAGTACTACATCACAGTTATAGTTATTGTCTAGATTTCAAACAATACATGTGTGACAGCTTATGGCAGAATCTTCATGGTTGAGGTGAAGAGGAAAGTTGAAAAAGGCAGTCTGAGCATAGTGCATTTAGACTTTAGCTATATGTCTGCAGTTATGTTACCTTGGCATATTCTCTATTTTTGAGGGGGCTCCCAGGTCTAAGTTACATATGAATCTCTCAGAGTCGTAAAGTGAATGAAAGGAATGTGTAACCACTATCAGCTGCTGCAGACTGACGAGATTAGGCTGAAGTGAGTAATGGTCAGCCGACAACCCCGCCTTATGGCCACTAGATGGTGCCAAATCATTATATAATCTACAACTCATAAACTCATATTTTATTTTAGCAACCAGAAGTGGACCTGAGTGACTATTACACCAAAAGAATTAATATGATAGTATTACAGTAAGGTTATTACAGCTTATCAGTACTAAACTTGCTTTAAAAATTATTATCTTAAAACTAGATATTATGTGTTTTGAATGGTGAAAAGTCCTCAAAATTTTGCATTTAACAGAAAGCTATGAATAAACAGGATGAATAGGTATTTTTTAGAATAAAGAAATGGCTAGTAGGCTACTATTGACAGTTACTGGAGTGTGACATGCAATACAAGATCACAAGGCAAACATGTACGATTTGGGCACAATGGCCTTCATAAAAAAACATTATAGATTATAAAACAATAAACTAAAACTGCTTGCTGACCTGACTTTAAATATATATGAGTCTTAATTCCCCTTACTCCCCCAGGTCCCGCTTTATCCAGCTCACCCCATCAGTGGCCTGTAAATCAGTATGGATATGTCTGTATGGTGATGGAGTGGCGGCAGTGTCTCTGTGGAGCAAGGTGAATAGGACCAACCTGACCCAGATAAAAGTGTCACCTCTCTGTCAGCACATGTTGTTTTGTTGGCTAAGCTTAATTGACATCATACACCAGAATCAAAACAATCCACCCCCACAATACTTCTCCATGTCCCTTTCACCATAAAACACCAACCAATTATCTTTATCACAGCAACTGGGTTGGTAATAGGTAGGAGGTAGGAGGTAATAGACAGTAGCAGTAACGGTAAAATTAAGTTTATGCTATGTCATGTTTTCTCATTATTATGGATGGGCATGAAAGAATTTGTACACATGATGTCTGGCACAAAGCTGCAGCTGTGAAAACTAGGGCAGCTGTGGGGTTGGAGGCTTAACTTCAGTGATAAGGATAAACACTGAGGTAATGCACAGCAGTATACAGCCAGCATCCAGAACAAGAGCAGGCTGTTTGAATGTAAAGTAGACTGCATGAGAAAGGCTAGGTGATAAAACTGAATGAAGTATGATATTGAGCTTGTCAGCAGATTCATTCAGCAGAACCTCATCAATGAACACATGTCTGTTCAATATTTGTCTCTGTGTGGATGGAAAGTGCTATCATTGAGTGGGCTGTGACAGATCAGTGACCATTTTGTGCTCATATTAAACAACATTCGATATGACTGTGTATCAGTGAAAAGGGTTACAAATTATAATTATTTAAAGTTAAGCTTTTAGGTTAATTGATAATAGTAATTATTCACTTATTCTTTGTTTCAGTTGTAAATATTTTAACATATAGCTAAATTTAGAATGATTCATAGATTTTTTTCTTATTGCACTACTGTCTTTGTCTCATTTCCAGCTATACAAAGTTGTACTTTGTATGGTATTGGGGACTTTGTCTGCAAATATGCAATGATTATGGCGGAATAAACTAGCCAAAATAAATTAACTTTGAAAAAAAGAAAAAAGAAAATACACATGCACAAACGCTTTAAGATTTAAAGTAAGTTTGTACCTCTTCTTCATCACTGGGGGAGTTCTCATACTCGGGCTCTGATGTCTCCTGCAGTCTTTGGTACTCTGCCGTCTCTCCCATCGTGATAATCCTAAAATCTGAATCCTCAAGTCTCTCAAAATCAGGGTGTCAACAATAACACAGATCCAGTCTCCTCCATGTCATTGCATCTCGTATTTAAAAATGTGTCATGGTAGAGTCATCATTGTTTTCTTGTCTTGTGTTCCTGTCTTCTTCACTGACCAAAAAGAAAATAATCTTCATTCCCATTAAATATTATTATTGTGGGAATTTTTAAATGTCCTGTCTCATGGTCAGTAACAAAATGCAACTGACGAAAGTGAGAAAAATTAAAACCATGATTGTTTGAAAAATTTTTAAGGAGTTACAATTAGAAAATACATTCTTTATAAAGTGCAAATGGAGCTGGCCTTGTGCTGTCTGGATAAACGTCTGCTGGGTTGAGGTGGAGGTAACAAGTCGATCTTCCTTATTTTAGCGTTACCCCTTTTCTAGCTTTTGGGGCTAACTGCTGCGGTCACTGTGCGTGCTTGGACACAGTCATAATGAAGATATTGGCTTTTATTCTAACCATCACCATTTGCCATCCAGTCACCTACCTTGTCTTGGGTGTTTTCTATTAGCTAGCATTCATTCAGAGTTGATAGAACAAAAGCTTCCATAATAGTGATTTGTTTCTTCAGTAAACCTCAGCAATGGTTTGTAGTGTCCATATTGGCAGGTCAGCACTGGTGATGACTGCCTCGACCACCGGCTCTTCCTGGATGTTATTCCTGATTGTGTGGTCAAAGAATTAATCCCTTGCGGTTGTTATTGTTTTTCCTCCTCTCCTCCATTCAGCCTCTAACAAGCTTTACGCACCCCTGCACTTGAGTTTTTTTGTTTTTTTTTCTCACAATTCAGTCTCTCCGCCTCTTCTATTACCGTGGCAACATCCACCCCATCCCTCCGCCTCAGACCTCTCTTGTCCTGTAGTCGCAACAATCCACTGAACAGTGGTCCTGACAAAAGCAGCCAATCACAGTGCAGCATGTTAACAGAAAAACGAGGGGGGAGGAGACAGAGAGAGAGGTCCAGGAGGAGAGAGAAGGGTAGGGGCACTAATGAGTAGAGTTAATCTTCCCTCCGAGAGGCCGAAAAACACAGCCATGTCATTTTGTGAGTGTATTAAAGGGAGGGCATCAGGCCATCTGGAAGCCTGCAGAGAGGACATCCGGATGGAAAGAAGAAGAATAGAAGCACTTGGAGAGCGGCGCCACCTTCTGGGCATAGACAATGTGCACTCAACTCAAGCTACATCAATGGACACTTATGAAGTGAATCAGAACACAGAACAACTACTTCCACATGTCATTCTATGTATCAAGGGAAAAAAGTCAACTATTGGACCAGGTTAGGACCATTTGACTTAAATTGACCTTCTCTTACAGTAAGTACCAAATGAACCACAGAGGGGTTTCCACAGACATATTATAGACACATACGTTATATTCCTCATGTGTCCATGTATATTTTATAGAGAATCAAACACTCAACCTAAACAGGATAGTTGAGAGGATAGCCCTTTAAAATAAAAACAGCTAGTATGTCTAAGTACTTCAAACTATCATGACTAATCACAACACATACTTGTGTCAATTACTCATGTGAAACACCCAGTGGCTGAGGGCAGTGAGTCGATTGTTGATCAAAGATCTGACTTCAACATGATTCAGCTTTATGATCAACGTCTTTTGTCAACAAACGATAATGCTTAAGAGCAAGAAGGGTGGGTTAAGGAACGCCTAATGAATTTATTCATGTATATCTGTTCTGTGTTAGCAGAACATCTATCCATTTATGATTATAACGTTATGACAGAAATTAAAGCAAAAGTTTGAGCTGTGATTTATTATTAAGGTTAAAATCCACTCATCTCCTGAATTAGAGGTGGCCGTGAACAAAGCCGATCCACCCTGAGTGAGTGGTTTGCGAGACAGAGGTACTCACATAATCCTGCTTCATGGGTCTTTCTAGGAAGTGTTGTAGAGACACGTGAATGTGTGAGCTATTAGCTTTCCCTGTCCCTCTAGGCTTAACAGGTGGGATTTAAGAGGGCCCAAACTAAAATCCTCTACAGCCCGCTCTGCCCCATCCACCGCACCACACTCTGGGTGGCCAAGGTCACAGGTGACCAGCTACAAATCCATTATTATTTCTTAGCTGAACGAATTCAAACAAAAACAGGCAAGTTGGATTCAAGAATAGTTGCAGTCAATATCTTTCCTGCTTAAGCAGGGCAGTCTGCAGCAAAATATAACATGGATACAACTGAACCCATGACTTCAAAAACATGCTTCATGCTAAATAGTAGGCTGGTGAGGTGAAGTAACTACAACGCCTGCTTGTTGCATGTGTGTGGGTGGCTGCAGTATTGCATCACTATGTTCTCTGGTGCAGTCTGTCAGGTCAATGAGTAAGCTACTGTTGTGCTCTTTTTAACCCCTGCTTCCCCCTGATACACTGGAGTGAAGTGAAATCTCTTTGTAGAGAGTTTGTGAAATAACTGAAAGCTAGAAAAGTAGTGTGACAAAACTCTATTGAGATGAAACTCTAACAGTTCATTCTAGAGGATGTACTGGTAATGGTTACTGCAGTGCCAGAGAGCAGAGCAAATACATAGTAATAATAAGCTGAAGGTCTGAATGCTTGTGTGGCTGTGAGCTGCCAGTGTCACAAGGTGATCTATTACAGGGTCACTTAATCAGGAAACCTGATGCATTAACAACATGGCCAACATAGAATAGTGCCGGAAGCCAGTAACAGTGTGGCAGTCCTCAGGGGGGTCTCGTAATGCTATCCCTGTGTCCCTGTGTAGAATGGGACCAGGGAGAGTGCACAGAGTGCTGTACGTGGACACAGTGAGGGAGAGTCAGGACTTGTAACTAATGCAGATGACAGATGTCTATCTCTGAATGAGGTTTGAGGAGAATGCTGTGACAAGACTGAACAGGAAGTTCAGGGTTAAAATAACACACAGGAGTATATCAGTCACACACTCCCCGACCTCCAGCGGCTCCCGTTCCTCCGGGTCTCCTCTGTCAGTCTGGGCCCCGTGGCCCTCCAAGCATTCAGAGACACTCCACAAAAAGCACACTCACGATGGCTGAGGCTATTTTGAGCAAGTCTTCTCTCCGCGCTCACACCTCTCCAGCTCCTCCCTTTCAGCGGGCTACCCCACTTCCTCTTTCCCCTTCAGTACATCACAGTCGACATGTCTGATACAGTCATGCCTGCAGACAGATGCATTCACAAACACACTCGGCACCTGTGCAGTCAGACCTAAGTACAGCTAGTAGTGTCTGGCTCTTAAACCACACACTTAAACAGAGGAACCAGGGAAGTCTCGGATGGCCTTTTCAATTCTGTAAAGAGAAGAATCTGCTGCAGCTGTGCTCACAAAAACAAACTCTCCATCCTCATGTCATGTTGAGCTTCACATTGTCAGGTCACACAGGGTCCAGACTCTGAGGTGGCTGAGAAAACAGTGGCTCCTCAATGTGAGCAGTGTCTGCTCCAGTGAGTAATGCAAACACACGTATGAAGTATGCTCAGACACAGAGTGGTGCGGTGATTGGTGAGTTTAACTACATCATGACTTCCATTAGAAAAGACCAGAGGGAGTATTACCTGCAGAATTTGCTCCATGGAATCCCCCGGTACAGACTCTGGACCCAGAGGTCCAGAGTCAGAGGTCAGCCCGGAGCACACAGGGCCCCCAGTCCATTGAGATGAGATGAGACAGCAACAATCTGAGAGGTGGAGTGCACTCACATGTTTTCATCTGCAGAGAGACCAGAGATATGTTACAAACATATGGTCTAATATGGTCTTTAATACTTTAATCACATGAAACACACATATACAGTGTGATGACAGGGTTGCAGCTAACAGTTACTACAACAGAACACATTTGTTTTCGCCTATTTTTAGATGAGTAAAACTCAAAGTTTGAGCTGGCAGCCTTTGCACTCTGTAAATCAGTCTGCTCTTCACATTGTGAGGTTTAATCCACTTGTCCACAGCACCGGAAGCATGTCCAAAAGTGGATATGAGGTCCAGGCAGGTGTGGGGGCTGGGTGGAATGCTCCTGTGTGGGCTCAAACTGTATGAATGAATAAATGTGATTCACATGGACATAGCCCACCCACTGCTCATGCACTGCTTGTGCACTGCTCATGCACTGCTTGTGCACTGCTCATGCACTGCTCATGCACTGCTCATGTTTGTGCACTGCTCGTGCTTGTGCACTGCCCATACACTGCTTGTGCACTGCTCATGCTCGTGCACTGCTCATGTGCTGCTCGTGCACAGTTCATCCAGCCATGAACAGGAGCCCAGTCTGAGGAGGCCGACAGAAACACACCAGGCTATTCTCCTAAACAAGACAAGGCTTTGTCTGTGTCTCACTCATACTTTGAGCTACAGAAGAGCAATGCACTGTTGGCTCACTGTAAACAAACACACACTTATCATTCACTTGTTCACTTGTACTTGTCAGTGAGCAAATTCTTTCACATTTTTATTGTGGTTAGAACAAGATGCCACCACGCCATTAGTCCCATTTTGTCAAAAAAAACCTGACACATTTCACAACTTTAAATTAGATACTTGCAGAGTACATATTTGTACTATTCAGTTTGCAAACTTTTTGTAACCAGTTCTTCAACTAAGATATTCAAGTTGGTGCACAGTGCCACGTGGCATCAGGGAGGGCATCTGATGGACATAAAAATGCTAATCCCATAACAGGAGGTGTGACCGCTGAAGGGCATGGGCTTGGCCATATGGGAAAGAGAACTGGGACTGGATGATATAGTAGTGTATACCTCACTGGCTCAGTTTACATGTTCAGAGACTACAGCAGCAGAGATGTGGAGGAGCTCCAGTGAAGCCGTCATATCCTGTAGTGTCACTAGCAGGGCATTCGACTGGCATTGGTCCAGGGGAGCTTAATACTGGGCACAGTGCCAATATTGACAAACATTTATCTCCTATATACAATAAACACCAGTGAAGTAATAACCACTGATGACTGTGTGTTAATGCCATATTAAGTTTTTTTAACTAGATCACAACACTTCCTATGCAATTCCTTGAGATGTGCATGTGCTATTGCTTCAATGGGGAACACATTTTACTGAAACAATGAAGAAAGGACTACGGCTCACTCGCTAATTGTAGAATAACAATAGTGAGTTTATAGAGACTAGAAGCTTAAAGATATTTGAACATAAAAAGAAAAGCATGCATGTGCATCAAAACAAAGCTGATCAAATATGTCCCTAACAAATGGTGGTGAACTGAGGAATCAAACAAAGAAATATAGGATATATTTGTGGTAATTATGAGTCTGCTGCAAACATGATTTTGTGCATCATGTACAAATTTATAGGATGAAATTCCCATGTTAAAAGTGTGTTTCTACACAAGGATAACACATATGTACACCAAATGTATGACTTGAACTGTGTGTGCCCAAAAAAAGCAAACCAATAAGTCATTCATGTGGAATTGAGATGGTCAGATCTATCTCGCAATGATAAGAAATCTTTACTTGGGTGATCTTGCAACAAAGTAAAAACTGAAGTCTACTGAATGATGTTAGTGAGGCGTGGGATGACAATACGTTTTTGTTCAGATGCCTTTAGGCTCCATCTGACACAGAAGTCAAGTCCAGTATCATGTCTGGGACGGTGTATCAATGGGATCTTCATAAAAAATTGTAATGCTACACTGTAGGGCATCTATCCATTTACATTCACATCCTTAAGAGGTCATGTGATATGGAAGAGAATATTCAGTATTTGTGGGAACATATGTCTAACATGTCACCTGCATGATCCATAGAAATAGAAAGTTAAAATAATACTTAGAAATGTTCTTCATGGAAATAGATGCGTTTTATACCTTATTGTTATTATTGACTATTATAGTCAAAGGAACAATATTTCCATGGAAATAAGCAGGAGGAGGCCCTGAGTCAGGTTTGCGGAGATGCAAGCCCACTCACAGACCCTTAATAAATTGGAAAAGAAAAAAACACACACACACACAAACATGCTTGTATTCTATTTTTAGTCCTCTATTTCTGTCTAAAAATGTTATACTGTACTAACTAAAATTCTGTATAGATATGGTTAATGACATACTGTAAAAGATCACAGGCAAACCAATAACATCCTCATGGAGATGAGAAAAGCAGATTACGGGCACCCATCAAAAAAGTGACATAGTCCAACTTCAGCCTGATCCTTGCCTACAAATTGTACTTTCAGAAAGTAATTGACCAAAATGACAGCCCCCCTACCCCTCCCCTGCTGCATGTTCCCGCCATACACACTTACACCTGCAATCATCGCACACTGTACACATTGATGCTAACACCTTATTACTCCGTTGAGTACTGTTTCAGCGTTAACTCTACAAATACAAAATCTAAACTTCCCATGATAAAGCACTTTCAAAACTTCTTTAACTTGTGAGTATTCCATACCTGTCAAACTGCGGTCTTGTCATTTGCTGTCACCTCCTCTTCTTCCGGTGTATGCAGCAGTAAAAATTTCTCCACAAGTTCAAATACTTCGCATTTTAATAATTCAAAGTCTACTGGATACAAATAAAACAAAACAGAAGACTACGTAGAAGTATGTACTCGTTCCTCAACAACTCTACAGTCGTGATTGTAGGTGGTTTGAGCGGAGCGTCTCTTCTGGTGTCACGTTTGTGCCATAGAGTCTATGTTCATGGTGTACGGTCTGCGCCGTGCAGTAGCTCCATGGTGCTGTGCGTGTACAAGCCAAAGATCGTGTATGGGAACTTAGACATGTTATTCAAGTAGGAAATATAAACAATGTACAAGAAAAATACAATCATGTCTAATCTATCAGCTTAATACTAAAATCAACTATCCCTCTTTCAAGGAAGTATGTACTCTTCCCACAAATCGAAGATGATATGTTTTTGCTGCGTGATAAAAACTCCTCGAGTGAAAGCTCTGTCCATCTCTCAAAGATCCATCGTTCCACTATTAAAGAAACACGAGCCTTTTTTATGGAGCGCTCATGAATCTATTAAAACAACAGCACTGTAGTTCACTGTGGTTTCTGGGAAGCAACTTATAGTGTAACGTTAGTGATGCAACCTTTACCGATATTTTATTATGTAAACATTTGAATATGAAATTTTAACTATGCTACTTGAAGATTGTTATAGATAACATTTTTAAATAAGTTTAAACACGTTAATTAACGCACTTTGACCAAATAAAACGCTACATTTTTTTAACAGGGCATTCTTGAAACACTGCTGCCATCTAGCGATAGAATGTTGCCATAACATGTTTGTATGACATTTGTTTCATTTCCCACTTCAGACTATATACAGTAGATAAAGAAAGGATTTTAGTTTATTTTTTAAAAATTCCAATCTGTTTGTGTTGTTAAGTAATTTATTGCATCAGAGCAAAACAAACCTGTGTACGTACAGTTTGAGGTCAAATGCAATTGAACAAAATTCTTTTCCATACTGCCACACTGTGCAGAGCTTTGTAAATACATTGTAACATTAAAGTCCAGATTTGTATTTTAGTTTGATTGGATTTCTCAGTTAAGTGTATCCAAGTTTTAGTCAATAACTAGTTTAATAAATGAAAGATAAGAGCATAACAAAAGAAAATGTCTCTGTTAAAGAGAGACAGACCGATACTGGCTGGTCGATATCTGCACCTTTTAGTGTACTGGCTATTGGCTTTAAATCTCCAACAGATGCAGTTTCTGTTTTCGCTGATAAGCTGCCTAAAGAATACACATCAAGCTTTACACAATTCTCTAATATGTTTGTGGTAAAAAGGGGCTATGGTGAATTTGTAGTCAATTTAAATGACATAATTTGACACAAAATAATAAAAAATCTGCCATATATATGAGCGAACAAATATCAGGAGGGCTTATTGGACAGATTTCTCTGGATTCTAAACAATCTGTATCGGAATCAGCCATGAAAAAAAACATATCGGTCAATCGCTATTAAAGACCAAGGCACCAGTCCAAAGTAAGAAAAAACTTGCACTCAAAATAAATGAAAAAAAAAAAGATTTTCAAGATAACAGAAGACCACATCCCTGTGACCACATCAGCGCTAAACTGGTAACAAGTATGACTTATATTAATAATAAATCCAAAGAAACACAACAGGTGAGTGACCACCTTAGAAACCTATAACTGAACAAGACAAGCTTGAACAAGAGCTGTTTGTAACCTTCTCTATTACATGCAGCATTTATAGCAAGAGGTCTGTGGTCTCTACAGTAGACATAAGCATCAAGTACAATCATTATATACAAATTATGAGAAACACTGTTCCCGATAATAAAAAAAACAATCCACCCCTACAGTGAAATATGGAGGGCACTGCCTCCGATATAAAAACACACTGGTAGGCAAAAACTACCTTCTTTGATCATTATGGGAGACGCTGCTCCCGATAATGCGGTCAGTGAAGTGTTCAAGATGCAGTGATGCGGAGACCAACCGGACGATAACATTACAGGGATTGGTCATGAACACTCAGGATTAGCAGATGCTGCTTTTGTTGTTTCGACAGTATAACTGTCATAATTATGGAAGGCACTGCTCCCGATAATTACTATATATATAGATTTATAAAAGGCAATACAAATATTTATAGTGAACCCTGCCACTGATAAATAAATATCAAAATATAAATAGGAATATTTTAGTTTCAGTGCCATTTTGAAAGCCAATGATATTCAATAGATGGATTATAAAAATGTTCTAAAAATCATCAGAGTAATGAAAAGGAGTAATTTTATGACATCGTATAAAGTTAAAGCTGCCATTTCAACCTACCATTGTTTGAACATGAGGCTCCAGCAGCAGAGGAATTAGTTCTTTTTGATTTTTGTTCTAAACATGCATAGATGATATGAGTCACTTTTCTTGAGTGAGTGATCTAAGCTGGCAATGTTTACAACTTGTACATGAACACGGGTAGGTAAAAGAAATTCAAGTATTTAGTGTAATTCTAATTTATAAAGCAAACTAAAATAGATTGCTTTACAACTTGGAGGTTGTCAGTCATCCAGTAACAGATGTTTCAATTGTTAAAGACTTATGTGGACATCTACATATCCAGGTGGCAGAAACTGTAATTCATAATTTAATCATGCTTGCAGTAACACTTCACTGTTTTTTGTGTGAAATTGCCACCTGTTTGAAAATAAAAGCCAAATTAGCTATAGGGATTTAAATTTCGTTATCCAAAGCCCAAATGTCTCCTGCAATGGAGTTTGCACAGCCCTGAATGGTCCAGGTGGCCAGGGCAAACTGGTTGCGGAAAACGTCTGCATCCGCTTCAGGACGGTCATTTTTGATGGCGTCTAAATGGTCTATGAGCGCACCCAGTGTTTGAGGACCCGAGCCCATGAGAATGTGACGGAAAGGGTTATCTCTGGGAGACACATAGGGTGACAGCAGGTTTCTCTCCACCTGTACACACAAAAAGAGTTTGTTCATAAATACGTCAGCAATAAAGTTCAAACTGAAATGGTTGTTTTGAAGACGCTAACGTTTAAAGATAAAGCAATTAATATTACTGCACAGCTCAATTTATATTCTATTCACTTCTTGTGCGATATTTGAACCAAGACATGATGTTTTTTCCACACTTATGAAGAACTGCAAAATATTCTCAATGAGATGATCAACATTATCAATAGACATCACCCACATTTGTCCATAAATAACTGCTATGAAATAGTTAGAATCCTATGTGATATTAGTTAAACATATGTTGTAAGTGACTCAATAAAGCAGAGATGATCTTACAGCCATGATGCGGTCGTTGATCATACGGCACATTTCCACGTCCTCCAGGTCACTCTTCTGGATGTCGGTTGCCAGGTTGGCTGAGGCTCGGCTGTAGGAGCCAGATGCAGACATGAGCCACTGCATCGTGAGAGCTTTAGGCAGAACCTGGGGCCGCAACTGCACACAACAACACATCACCATCTCATTTCACAACTATGCCTACATCTGTATGCACATAGGCAAGCAATCAATAATTCTTACCTTTTGAACCTCAGCCACTTTCCCATTGATTTTGAAAACATTGTAGCGGATAATGCGAGTGTATTTCTGAAGGTCGAGCTGTAGGAGATGATCATGTACCAGCCTCAAAGTGATATGACCTGCGAAGCGAGCAGCTACTTCAGCAAACTGGGTCACCTGGCCGGAGGTTGTGGCCTGGAGTTTTTGCTGAGTGTCTAACTCCGTGCCGAAATATGGATAGTTCTAAAAGGAAGGTGCAAAAATGTATGACCAAGACAAAAATTCCAATATAAGTATGATCTCAATTACAGATTATAGATCTATTTAATGAGAAACATATTACCATATATTCTGAGGTGAATCTAAATGACATAGCTGGGATCCCTGAAAAAGCAAGAAAAGGATATGCAGCACTGTCCATATTCATTGCCTCCAATCTAAAAAATACAAACAAAAACTCAAAAATATCTTCAAAATAATGCAGGGTGAAGATTGGTAGACAAGTCACACTTACAAAGAGTCTAAATTGTCTCTCCCATACTGTGCTAAAAGGGATGGCGCGCCTCTTGTTGGTGCATTCACCTGCAACATGGATTGCATTGGTTTACAGTTTTATAGAAAAAAAATGATTAAATGGAGCAAAGCAGCACAATTACCTCTTTCAGGGCACTCAGGATCAACGTGTACAGCAAGGGACTAGCAGAAATCTTAAGTCCACTTTGACCTTAAAACAAAAGAGTTCACAATGCGCATTGCAATAAAATGGTCCACAGTGATTAAAGAAAAGCCCAGTACACACCTGTAACAACTCCATTGAGGTCCACATATGTGAAGGCTTTCATATTGAGGGAGGACAGATAACCCTGCAGAAAAAAGTAATAAAGTCACTTTACTGAATAAAACCAACACACACTACTCGTATTAATGTGAAGACAAATATTACAACCTCTAGCCACTCTGTAGCACCAACGTTCCCATATTCCCCAGCACTCCAACTGGCAAAAACAATACTTCTTCTGGGTTTAAATCCACCTGTGGGTGAATAGCATGAACCACCACTTAGAACACGAATGAAAGATGAGTAGACAGAAGCATTGTTATCAAATGTTTACTGACTGTTTTGCATTTCCGAGATTGCGCGAGCCATTTCAAGAAGAACACTGGTGCCAACAGTTGCTTTGGCAAAACCTGGACCCCAGGCATCTCGTTGAGCACCAATTACAACATAGCGGTCTAAAAAATGACAAAGACTAAATTAGAAACATTTTAATACCTATTTAAATATAAAAATCTATTGTTTAAAGTAGTACCTGCATCAACAAAGCCTTTGATCACTCCGAAAACGTTTGTGATTTTTTTCTCAGTTAACATATTGTTGACTTCCACTGTGATTAAATCAGACTCCCCTCCCAGCTTGCCACTTCCCATGAACCCCCATTGTGTTGGAATTTTCGGACCCTGCAGTTGCCTTAGAAAATAGAAATACATGAACATTGAATGGTATAACTTATTATTAGTATTTATTATGTATTGCTAATGGTAATTTAACATACTTTAAAATTTTCGTAGCCAATTCAGGAGTAATAGTCTGTGCCAGAATTTTCGGCAGTCCAGAGGATTCAATGGGTGGGAACTGTGTGTGATTAAATGAGGGGAAGCCTGGGGTGTAGGGATCACCAGAGCCCAAGTGAACCTGAAGAAGAATAAGGTGAACAGTTTGCTAGTTCAAAATGAAATACATGTAGTAGAATGCACAATGTGGAAAAATACTGACATGGCCAAAAATCTCAGCGGAGCCCAGAAAACTGTAATCAGACTGGTCTGCGTAGATCAGAACAGCAGTAGCATTCACTTTGGCAGCGTTGGCTACCTGTGGGCAAAAACATAAGAAATTTGATATTAAGGATATTTAAGAGGAAACTATAACTCAGATAATAAACTATAACCACAAACCTTTTCAGCAAAACTAATCAAACCAGCTCTAACTAACACGACACGGCCAGACATGGGGATGTTTTGGTAACGGAGCATGCTGAAGTCACCTTCTCTCCCATAATGGGCGTACAAGACAGCACCCTTATTAAAAAATATCCACCAATTAGTTCACACGAGTAATAAACATTTATTATTAAACATTTAGTGTGTGGATTACCGTTGCTGTCCCAGGAGCACTGTAAGAGAGGAATCCTTTCAAATCTACACTTTCACCATTGAAAGTCACTTTGTTTGTTCCTGAAAGATCCTGGACTTTGACAAAATGCTCATCAGTCCACGTGGCCATCCCGTATTCTTTGAATCTTCTGATAACTTTGTTACCAAGATCATCATCACCTGGAGTACCTGCCCGATGGCTGCTACTTGCAAACGTGCTAAATAAAATTAGAAAGTGACATTTTTTTTGTTAGTTCTTTTTTAATATACATTTAAATTTGTTCCACAAAAATACCATACTTGAAGGTAGAATCAAAGTTTGACATCTTGAGCTTTTCAGCATACAGCTTCTTAACACTATCCCAGTTCATGACAGGAGCAGCTCCTCGTTCCATAACAACAGGGTCTTTTTTTGGGCTAAAGGTGTTAGTGCAGGCAGGAGCCATGTCCTTCTTACGATGAACCAAGAAGCCAATTAGATACCCTGCCACCAAGGAGAGATAATACATTTTATAAAGAAAAGAAAAAGAAGAAGTTACAGCAAATCACAATTAGACTGTTTTATCTTTAGCAATAATGTCTGTGCTGAAAGTGTATCCAGTGTACAGTTTATTATTTTTAATTATACTGTTTTAAGTGTAATGCAAATGTTTAACTTCTGAACAAATGCAATCCTAGTGCCCTACTGAGTAAAATGCACATTATTTCAAGAAAATTTTCAAATCTGTCAACTGGACAAAGGTTTTACTGTTAAGATGTTTCACCACTCATCCAAGTCATCTTTGTCCAGATGACAGAATAAAATTTTTCATTTGCTATGCCTGGATGACTGAAGGATTACACAGACATTATTTCAAGAGAACAGCAACAGAAAAATACAGTAGTTTAAAAAGCATAATACAAGACCTTTTAGATTACAAATTGCCCAAGTGAGTCTTACCAATGATAAAAATGAGGAGAATAGCAACAACCATGAAGCAGAGGTTCCTGGGTGTGCGCCCGTTCCTCTGGGTCACGTAGGGCTTGCTTCGGGAGTTGTGATTGAGGTGCTCTGCAGTGCCGTTGCCCCCCACCTCCTCATCCATGTCAGAGGATAGCTTCATCTCCACTTGACTGTTATCGCCCTCCATGTTCTGAGTCAGGTTGAAGCGTGTGTAGGAGTGAGGCTCTCCATTAAACTGAAAATGAAAAAAAATATTTGTAATAGGACATTAGTGAATGCCAATAGGATGGCAAATGTAATTCGTTTTAAAATGGAGAAAGAGACATGCAAACAAACAAAAATGCAAACAAAACAAACACAAAATAAATCTTACAAATATACTTACTATTTTAGAAATCGTTGACCTTGCCTGATCCATTTTCTTTTAACCTATGAAAGAAAAAATAAATTAACCATCTTAAGGAGATACTTTTCGAGTCGAGAAAGGTTACCAAGTTCCTGGCCCTTGTTCTTGTACAGTTTGACTTCTGGGAACAGGTTTTGAACACTGTTTTGAGAACAAATCCCACCTCTTATCCAAACACATGGGTTTCCTCTACTGTGGCTTCAGACAGGTGTCCAGCATGAACACTGTAGGTGCACTCAAGAAAACTGAAGGAACTCAAGAAAACTTTCCACTTACTTTGCTTTCAGACAAGCCAAACAAAGCATTGCTACAATTCTAAAGAAATACACAAGGGAAAGATGAGATTTATGTATATTTAAAAAACTGTAATCCACAACCAGTGGAAGATGGGCTGAGGAGGTTCTGATCAGCAGGAGGGAGAGGACACATAGCCCAACACTAGTCTCTCTCACTCACTGCACAAACTTATATATATATATATATATATATATATATATATATGTGTGTGTGTGTGTGTGTGTGTGTGTGTGTGTGTGTGTGTGTGTGTGTGTGTGTGTGTGTTCTTAACAAAGCTCTGAAAATATTTCTAGGAATGGAGGACTGCAACATGCAACCAAATTTAATACAACAAAAACATGAATGCAATACTGTTACCAGAGTCTAGAGTTTCATCTCTAAAATAGACCTTTAACGATCAAGGCACACAGCCAGCAAGAGAATAAAGATCAGCTCACACGATAACGGGACAAAGGGACAAAGATGAATAGCCTTTCAGGACAGGGTTTGAAGTTGGTTTGTGTGTATATTTACTATTTTGTTAATATTACTCTAAATACATACAGTAAAGTAAACAAAATGTCTAAATGTCTAAAATGTCTGATACTGAGTCAAATCCAGTCAAGAATGAACACAATATTTAAAATATTCAGTGATGCCAGGCAGGACATTGCGTGTGGAGAGCCACAATGGGCAAATGCCAAAGGGAACAGAAAAGCACACTGAGGCATGTCCTAATTTGTAGCTCTTGTAAGTCTGGCATCACTTAGCTTTCCAAAATACCTCAAATGTAACCCAGAATCAAAGCCAAATTCTGTGCCCATGTCTGTGGAATAAATGTGGTAAGAGAGCGGGCATAACTCATGCTACAATGCCACCCAGAGGATGCAATTCCAACTTTATAAATAACAACTTATGTTATCCCAGTGAGACCCTTGACTTTCACACTGCAGGTGAAAGAGATGTTGCAATTGACTTAAAATAGCACCTCACTGAGTCACAGCCTTATAAAACAAATGATGAGAATTGGTGTCACTGTGATATTTGTATAACCAATTGGTCAATAAGGTGGGCAGAGCTAGCTATAATCTGAGATGCCAATCATACCAAGCATGGTAAACTTAATACTTTAAACAGATTAGCTGCTTTTAGAGAAGAAGCCTAATTCACCAATCAGTCAATTCAGGATGAAAATAGAAAATAATAGAAAATAGAAAATAAAAATTATTCAGTTAAAAAGAATAAAGACAGAGAACAGGCTCATCTGTCTGCTCCCATTAGGGAACGTTATGGTGTATGGGTGTGTGTGTTGTAGAGATAGGCTAAACTTGAGCCACACCCTGGAGGTACAGAGACAACGCTGCAACCATGCATGTGACCAGTCAGGAACAGTAAAAAGCAGTCTAACATTGACCTATTTCAAGAAAAATCCATAACATGACAACAGGTCTGGAGTGCATGGGCACATGGATGTTTCTAGACTACAATAAAAAATGAGTGTCCTTAGTGGTTTGTCTTCATATCACTACACCTGTAGTATTTAACACAGTGACCTGGATAATAAGTAAACTGCATCCACAGAACAAACTCAGAGTTAGTGAGAAAATGGGAGAGATGAGGAACAGTGCAGAGGGGTGAGAGGGGTCAGGGGTGCGGAGGAGTCATTGTGCAGAGGCAGAATCATGTGAGAGTCACATTGGAGAAAAGCTTTGAGAAGGTTCATGGGAAAAATGAGCTGAGCTGCGACAGAACAGCGAGTCACAGAAATTCTTCACTCCTGTTGAGCAAGATTCAATTCAAACTTCTGTTCTGTAAAAGGTAGGATCCAGCCAAAGTGGGGAGAGCTTGAAACCAAATTAAGTAGCTTGATATTACTGTTATGTACAGCTGTGTAAGGCAAGACCCATCTCACCAGAAAAAAAGTAAAGTGTACATTTTAAGAAAAAAAAAAAAAAGAAAAAAAAAAAAAAAAGAAAACTTCAGCTTCATCTTCACGTCTGCTTGGTATTTCACTATTTGCATTGCTAAAAGGTAGATAACCACAAGAGGAAATGGATTATCTACTCAAATGTTGACCTGTCAAGTTCATCTGCTGCAAAACGGGTGTTAGGGGAATCACCTAAACTCTTTCACGTCAACTTAAACGTTAAATCACAACTTTCAGTTACTTTTAATGAAACCTGGTGTTTTAGTGAAATTAAAATTTTGCCAGAACCATTCCCATAATAAACCCAAGAGTTCGTTATCACTGCAGTCGCTCTTCAGTCAAGGTCAGGAAACAGTCCAGGGGCAGTATAATGTCTCCTGACACAGTAACCCAGAGCAGCCTAAAAGGGTCACCCTGTCACCGAAGCGCAAGATTAGACAGCATGTTGGCTCCCAGTGCTTGACTCTTGGTACTGGGCTGGCGTAAAGCGCATGGCGCACTGCTCATTAGATTATTTCCACATTACAACACGACCCCAAGTCCCACGCTGCAACTTGTGTAAATGGCATAGGGAAAACGTGCAATGTTCCGGAAGAGTGTGGCGGTACAATGCGCATATTACAGATGATGACGCGCTCATTATAAACAAAATTAACAACACGTCAATGAGCTGCTTCAAGTAGGCCTTTTTTTACAACTTTATTTCATTGTCGGGAATATCTTTCAAAAGCATATGCGCCCCAGTCTAAGGAGAGCTAAGTAAATAACAGACGAATACTGCTCCATAATGACTTGTGTTATAGAGAATTAAAATACGCACCTTGATCCCTGGCTCACTGAGACATGCAAGACACCGTGGCACACGAGGTCTGCTTCTGCTCGCCCGATATCTGTCTCTTCCACCCGGCGAGCGACCTTGGATAGTGAGAAGGAAAGCACGCGTCTCTAGCTACGGTGGGTTGTGCAGCCAATGAACAACCCGAGCGACTTTTACGCCATTTCCGGGTCTTAAAGGCTCGCGAGACATTGCTCCATTATAGTTCTATGCATTGCTCGAATCATGGGTACATTTAGGGATACGCTGGTTAAGAGCAGGTAATGTGTTATTACATGACAACTGACCTTCCACTGGATTTTAATTGGATTTAAGTGTTCATAACCTAGACTACCATTTGATAATGGACAATATTTAAAACTATGAAACATACATATAGCACGTGATATGTTTAAACAAACCCGTTAATTCAAGATTTTCAACCTTTAGATTTCACGAACTGGTCAAGGACAGGGCCTTGAGGTTAAACTTGTGAAAGATGGACAGGTTTAGTGAATGATCAGCCTGCTACATGAATCCCTGTAAAGACTCCCACAAACAGTTGTGCAGTTTGTTGACTTTTCTGTTAATGGCTGGTTATGCACGTAGTTCTGTCATATAATTGCACCTGTGGATAGACTTAATTATATGTTGGTCCCTAACTTGCTGTATTAAGTGGGTGGTCTTTGGTCACTCCAATCATTTTCCCATGCCATAGTCTAATCTTTTTCACATTTTCAACATAACATACTCACCAAATGTCAAACAAAACTAAATCATGATTTTGATGTAAAATAAATATCTATATATTTAAATTAAATAACAGTCTTTTTTTGATGTAATGACTTTAAAGTTCAGCAGTCTTTTTATTGCAAGTCGTTGTCCCAGTTTCAAGCACTAGTAGGATAAAAATGCAGGCTGCCCAGTGGAGATTGAAAAAGAGCTTAATTTTCTTTCTACACAGTTGTGTGTTGGGGTTTAAAGGTTATATTAGTCTGTAGTGTAGTGTATGTTGGATAGAATAAGACCAGACTTTTACTTTCTCACAGCTCCTTTGAGGTCTACTGCATTAGAAACAGGTGTTTAAACCCACAAATGGTGTCTAGTAGATGTGCCCACAGAACTGCTAATCCTAGCAAACTTGCAGAAAACTACATTTTATGAAAAATTACACTGGTTTTCTGACAGCAGAAGTCATGTCTATGTATTACAATGTTGCAATGTTTGTTAGTAACTGTTATTTAATTACATTATTTTCACACAGTTTCACACTTAAAACTAATCAAATACCCAGCACTGTCCACCACACAAAATATTCAGATTTGTATTTTTCAAGAAGTAAAATGGAACTCAGAACAAATTTTTGTACAATGTTGTACCTTTTACGTGGTTTGAGAACCACAAGTAATAAGATGTGTCAAAATGAGAGCAGTATTAAAGTTAGAATTAGTTTATTTCCCACAATACACAAAAAAGCGGCTCTGTTTTGTTTGTTTGTTTTGAGGGGAAAGTCCATTATGAGATTAGACTTCAGTTGTGAACCTAGTTTATGATCAACATTTTGAGAATCACTGATTTTCTCCAATCTGACATAAATAAAGTTTAACATTGTCAGGAAACAAACTTTGTAAAGCCACACCATAATCAAACTTAACCTCAGTGTGGGGTAAAGAGTAATGATGAGCTCTATGTGTTTATTATTGAACTTCCTCTGTTTCTCTAAGTTAGCTTTGTTATTTATCCACTCAAAACACAGCTGCATAGACAGTAATTCTGAGATTCAGAGCAGACACAGTGATATTTAACAGAAACCTGCTTTTGCTTTTCGATGCATGGGGATTTTCACACTTAAGTAAAGTGTGGCTATACAAACTGTTAAGGTGTTTCTTTGTTACAGTGTTTTGGCACAAGTAACTCTTAACATATAAATAAATGATGCTTGACCAGATCATCTCTTTAGCCTGGTCATACAATGCAAGCGCCAATGCAAGAAAAAAAATTACTCACATCCTCATAAAAATAAATGCCCCTTTTTTACACAGGGAGTAAAAGTGCTATTTAAGAATCATGCTTAACAGGAAGAAGTCTTGATTTCCTTTATTTTTACTTTTTTTTGGTATAAATTCTCAGTTGGGAAGTCTGCCACCATACTTGTTCCCCTGGATATGCTATCACCATGCCTGGAATGTTCCACTGTATGGCATTAAACAATGTATCTTGATTATTGCTTTTTTTTTTTTTTTTTTTCGAAAAACATGAACATTAGCCTCTTCACAGATCTGATCTTCACCTAGGCCTAAGGGCATCACCTGATTTTGAGTTTAATGCAATACTTTGGAACATTTTTGGCAAACCAGTAACATCTCTATGTAAACAAGCAGAGAAGTCCAAGACAAAAGTTATGTATAGTGCACAAAGGAGTAGAGGACTTGAGAAGACATTATTATGTTGTGGAACAGAGAAGAGGCACATTGTTAACCAATCAAGTTTGAAACTATATTAAATCACTTAAAACAACATATTTTATTTATTTATAGCAAAAAAAATAAATACAAATTTATCTTAAAAGCAAGTTGAATTTAAGAATGACAGTTAAAATTCATTCATCTTTTTTTCTTGACCTTTGCGAACTGGCGCCTTTTTCACTAGTGTCACCACCCAGCTGGCCAGAAGCCCCTCAGAGATACTCTTATCTGTGTCGCACCCAAAGCTCTGAGAAGCCTCTATAACCAACCTCTGTGTCCACTGAGCTTCATCACATCTCATTCATTATTATTACTAAGCAAATAACCATAATTAATAAATAACACATGCAATAATGACACAATCATAACTTAACCATGTACAACTGTAAATTTAGAAATCATACTCTTAAATTTAGAAGTTGCAGCGGTATTGTTACCAACACATCTTCTTTTTCTTCTGATCACTTACAGCTAACATTACTACCATCCTACTGGTACAAAATGACAGTGTTCTCCCTGAAACTCATCGGCCAAACCCAATTATCATTTATAAAGTTTAATGCTTGTAGTGAATATGGGTAGTGTGCAGTCCTTATCAGTTAGGAGTATCTACTATACTACTTAAAAGTGCCCTATGTGACTTTACAGGTGGAAGGTCCACTATCTGCTTGTCTTCATGGAGAATGTATTGCTTAGCTTGGAATATTCTGCAGTATGCCATTAAACATTTACAGTTTGCATTTATTCAATTATAGTTTTTATTGTCAAAAATATACATTTAAACGTAAATGTTATTAAAAGTAATAACATCTCGTAGCGGGTGGCAGACTCTTTATCAGAAAAGTTACATAGTGCACCTTTAACTATCATTAAAAGACACGCAACATATGATGCAATTTTTATTCCAAATGAAGTCAGACAAGAACTCCAGGAAATATCTTTACGTGAGCGTCCTGCATGGACATGATAGGATATCTATCTATGAACAGAGCAGAGCCTAAGCACTGGGCTTGGCTCCTCCCCAAACTTTGATTACGTATTAACTTACCATTGGCTTAAGCACATTGAAACCTGTATAGTTAAACAACATAAGAAAGAATCAGGGGAATATTTGGGCAAGGATTAATATTTTAAATCTGTTTTGCCAACATATTATGACACCTTTCCTTAAAAAAACAGTGATGCAAAATTTGATATGTTGTAGATGAACTACTAAGTTTGGACACTTCACATTGATTCTAATTTTTTTATTTTTACTACTGTCTATATTCTACAAATATATAAAGCATGCATTTATGTAATAAAAAAAGACATTAAAAAACTCTACTAAATATTTTCTGACATAGCAAAGGGTGGCTACTTGGAGGATTTATCTTGCTTCATATACAGACATGGAAAAAATTGTTGGTACCTCTTTGGCAATGAAAGAAAAATCAACAATAATCACTGAAATAACTTGAAACTGAGAAAAGCAATAATAAATTTTAAAAATACTGAACATTGCCTTTCACCTGTGGTTCAACAGAATTATTAGAAAAAACAAAATAATGAAACTGGCCTGGACAAAAATTATGGTACCCTTGACTTAATATTTTGTTGCACAGCCTTTTGAGGCAAACTCTTCAAGCAGACAATTTCTGTAACTGTCAATAAGACATTTGCACTGGTCAATAGGTGTTTTGACCCATTTTTCGTGAGCAAAATGCTCTAGTTGTCTTAGGTTTGAAGGGTTCCTTCTCCAGACAGCATGTTTCAGTTCCTTTCACAGATGTTCAGTAGGATTGAGATCTGGGCTCACAGAAGAACACCCCAGAACAGTCCAATGTTTTGTTCTTAGCCATTCTTGTGTGTTTTTAGCTGTGTGTTTTGGGTCATTATCCTGTTGGAAGACCCGTGACCTATGACTGAGATCAAGCTTTCTGACACTAGGCAACACATTTCGTTCCAAAATACCTTGATAGTTTTGAGATTCTGTTGTATTTTGCACAGATTCAAGACACCCTGTGCCAGATGCAGCAAAACAGCGCCAGAACATAACCAAGCCTCCTCCATGCTTCACAGTAGGGACAGTGTTCTTTTCTTGGTGTGCTTCATTTGTGCATCTGTTAACACAGAGCTGATGTGCCTTGCCAAAGAGCACTAGCTTTGTCTCATCTGTTCAAAGGACATTCTCCCAGAAGCTTTGTGGCTTGTCAATATGCATTGTGACAAATTCCACTCTCACTTTTTTATGATTTGCTCTCAGCAGTGGTGTCCTCACATGAAGTCCACTTTGGCATTAACAGTGACCGATGGTTCTGACACGGATGTACCTTGCCCTTCGAGTTCACATTTAATTTGGTTGGAGGTTGCTCTGGGCTCTTTGGTTACCATTTATATGATCCATCTCTTCAATTTGTCACCAATTTTCCTCTTGTGGCCACGTCCAGGGAGGTTGGCTACAGTCCTGTGGACCTTAAACTTCTGAATAACATGCATAACTGTAATCACAAGAACATCAAGCTGCTTGGAGATCTTATTGTCTTTACCTTTAACCTGCTTGTCTATCATTTTCTTTCTAGTCTCCTGACACAGTTCTCTTCTTCACTTTCTCTGGTCCATGTTTAGTGATGTCTTCATCATGTCTCAAAACAGCACAATGACAATATGCCACCCTTTGATAAACACTACAAAGCTCTGACCTCAGTTTGTCATTCCTTACTCATGTCCATATTAAAGGTCCTTATTTAAGCCATGCTATAATGTTAACTCCTCAAAAACATACCTGTTTAGTTTCATTCACACATATGAGTAACCCTTTATTGTTAGTTTGTCTACATCCAAACGTCAAAATGCTCTGTTCCACTTTGTGGTGTCATGTAGTACAGTTGTTTGACAAAGCACAACAGTGACAACATGTGGCCATCTTAAAGAACAACATCAACAGTGAGGTAAAAATATTTAATAGACAAACATGTCAGACCTGTTCAAAATGCATGTAACACAACACAATCAACCAGCTCTCACACAAGTTCACAAATTCATCTCTACAAATCTACATACTTTCACATATAGTGTCCTTTAGTGACCAGGTCTGTATGGAAACGGAAGTCCGGTCATGAAAGGCTGTGTGGGATACTGTGGGTGAGGAGAAGGGTGAGGAGCCAAAGGGGTGTGGGGGGCGTGTCCTGGGAGAGTTGGGTGAGAGGCGATGGGGGAGTGTGCTGCATGGGGACTGAAGGACAATGGAGGAGTGTGAATGTTGTTATAATACATCACTGGGCCAGACAAGACGAGCTGCAACAAACTGAAGAAGGGGAAAAAAAGAAGAGAGATGTTACATGGGACATGATTTATCAAGTAACAGTACAAAAACACTGTAGTCCTTACTTGTTATGAGGAAGGCGGGAACAAATTGCTCGCAGGTCCTCTGTGTAAAAAAGGTAATATTAATTTTAGCATGAATGGCAGACTATACTTATGCTTTGTAATCTGGTATGATCTAGCCATAATCATGGATGATATTTAAATTCAAAGTATGTTGCAGAAGTGACAGAAGTACTTGCTTTAATATATGTTTACAGTAGAATTTTTAATGGCCAGTACTTCTATTTGTCCGTACTTTAGGATTCAGTCTTCCCCTTACCTCTGGAGCAAAGAAGTGCGCGGTTAGCCATAGCCACCTGCAGAGCTTGCGCTAGACGATCCAGAGCCAGCTGAGACGCTGCATGTGATTCATCCGAGATTGTGTGAGTGTGTTTATCTGCTTGATCCAATAGCCTGGAGAGGTCTGAGATCAGTGCAGCCACAGACTCAATTTGCAGCAATGCAAGACGACCAAATAGTCCTTTTTCAGTTAGTATATTTGGCAAGAGCATAAAGACCTATATTTGAAGACAACAAACAGAAACGTTACTTAGATATAATTTTTTGCAAAAATAATGGTTTGATGGTTTAACATAATATGTGTTCAACACACAAAACAAACCTGTAGAACACTTAAGTGAAGCGCAGAGAAGAGAGGGCCTGCTTCTTGTTCATTTTCACTGCTCCCATTGACCATCACAGGCTTCTTGACTTTCCTATATGCAAGAGGAGCTTTGACACACCATCGGACCAGGCCGCCTAATGGTGTTACATCAAGTGAACTGACAGATTGGCTGTTAGAGAGGGGTGTGTTCAGAAAAGTGATCAAAACTAGCCGATCCTGGATCCAGGACACAATCATCTTAAGGAGTTCTAAAGGAGGTGTTAACTCATCTGAGGATAGACACATAATCAAAGTTATATAAACGTAAAGAAAGAAATGTTTTTCTTCAGGTTAGAAAACAGCATTACACCTGTGGAGAGGTCATACAGCGTGGTCACAGCAGTGATGAACTGGCAGCAGAAGCGTGGACTGGCACTGTGAATGTTCTGTAGTGTGGGAACTGAGCCTGGCACAAGGCTGCAGTAGTCATCTACCAATACCTGAGCCAACCGTACACAGTAGACTCTGTGGGTTCTCTATAAATGACAAATGATACAGGGTTAAACACTGTTTGTTTCTGTTTGCACTAAAAGGACACATATAGTATACCTGTAACCATGTAGCTGCACACTCTAAAATAGGAATCCTTCCCACTGCTACTGCCATAGACACTAGCTTCCCCAGCAGTGTCATGCGGCTCTCATCAGCCTGATTGCCCTGCAGACTGAAGAGCGCTGAGAACACAAGTTGTCGGACTGTATCCCGGCTCTGCTCCTGGAAACAGCTGCACATGATCTCCAGCAGGTGGAGCTCCTGGAGAGCACTCATCCTCTACAAACAAATGCCCATTTAGTACATTGTCGTCATTAAAAAGGATCTTTTAGCAGTATGCCATACCCTGATTTGAGCATTCCTGTCTTTGGGCACATGTAAAATAAATTCCTCTACCAAATCCAGGGTTTTAGTGTCCACCTGAGGGGCCTGCCGTCCTGACTGCACCATGTTACAGATGTAAATGTCCAGGTGGTACAGGAGCTCCTTAGCTGCACTCAGAACATCTCGTGGAAGCAAAGACTGACGGATGTCCCCCATTTCGACTTTCCCTGAAAGTTAATAAATTCTTTACTGTAGGAATAGGCGCTACAGCGCTTCAGTGACCGGGCAAGCAGATCAGAAAAGCAAAAAACAAAGTAACGCCAAGCATCTAGTAGTTAGCTTTGAAGATGATGCTGTTTTACTATCAACTAAGTTGTCAAATATAGTTTTATGCAGGCTATGCACAGTAAATGCTCTATAAATTACGCCGATCGATATAATAATGTTTGTCATAGCTATAGAGAAAATGATTATGTGTTTTCTGTAGCGTAACACACGGGACAGTGAAGCTAGTATACAACTCATTGGAGCTTCTTCTCTATCGGGCTAAGCTAGGCAAGTTAGCTAAACAACCGACTTTTATAGGCCAAAACAGATTTAAAGAGGTAGACTTGGACAGATAAAAGGGATAAAGGCGAGCTCACCTTCGCATACAGATGTTTAATGTGATTATTTATTCACTTGTATAAAATAAAGCCAACAATAAGGACTGTCGTGGGATTACCCACCAACAGCAACGGAACCCCTTCCTACTTGTACGAATGCGCGTGAGGGACAAAAGGGCTATAATTTCAAGTTTGCAAATTATGTGCTCAAATTGTCAACTTTGTTCTTACGTTATTGTATTCTACCATTACCATTTCCTTCATTCTTACAATACCCATAATAACTGATAATATATATATATATATATATATATATATATATATATATATATATATATATATATATATATATATATATATATATATATATATATATATATATATATATATATATATATATATATATATACATATATATATATACATATATATATATATATATATACATATATATATATATATATATATATATATATATATATATATATATATATATATATATATACACACACATATATACACATATATATTTTATTTTACAAATAATCAAATAATAATTTAATATCCCTATAACACACAAAATGCATTATAATATTGCAATCTACACGGGGACGCGCACGTATCAGCACATCCCCTCCTCCGAGCGCGCTCCTGAGTGCAGTTTACTCTCGCACTTTTCATCCCGTCGAAACATCCCGAGCAGCCTCCAAGAAAGATGACCATCAACACTCTGGCTAAAGGGGGGTGGCATCGCGAACAAATGACATGCTTTCAAAAGGTATGTATATATTTATTTTTTTACTTTGCAGACACGCTTACTTTACTTATAAAATAGAACTAAAGTGGTTTAGGTATTTGAAATTTGCCTTGCACAATTGAAGTAAACTATGTAGGCTAAGCCATCATCATTTGTTGTCCCTCTTTGTGTGCCTGATCTAGATGGAGAAAGTGATAGTGGCCATGCAGGATCCTGACATGGGCATGAAGATGAGGAACCAACGGCTTTTAATCACTGTTATACCACACGCCATGACAGGTGCGTGTTATTTTACGGTTTTGACCCAAGTGCAGTCCTGCTCACTGCAGTGCGTGGCTTGTCCCAGAGGCAATGAATAATGCAATACGAGAATTCTGTTTGTGCATAGAATGGTCTGCGTTTAAATCCCATCTTTTCTATTGCTTTTTTTGCAGGTAGAGATATCATTGACTGGTTGATGCAGAAGTATACAATCAATGAAGAAGGTATCTACAACACTACACGTATTTATCTATTTGGGAATTTGAGTTTGGCGTTGATATGTCTAGTTCTTGGTTGTTTGTTGCCTGGATATGGTAAAGCTGACGTGGTTGTGATGCGCTCCTGTGCTAGCTGTTTCCAGTAAACAGGAATAAGGTACATTCCCTAAGGATTTCGTGTTTGATTAAGTCACCTGGTCTGGTTTTGATTACAACCTCCTTTGAGAGTCCACCTCTGGGGGACAGAGTTGCCTAAAATAAATTAGAGGGGTTTCAGTGTAATGTCCTAGTAGGCTAAAAGGGGAGACTGACAAACTGATTTGTGTAGCATAGAGAACAAAGGCAAATACTTTTAGGCCTAGGCCTAGCCTAAAAGTACAAACACACTTAATTTTGAAAAGAATAAATGAATAAACTACTGTTATTACAAATTATAACCTAAAAGCCAAATCAAAGAGCAATGTGTTTTGTTTTTTTTTTCCCCACAGAGTCTTTACATCTCGGTGGCATGTTGGTCAAATATGGGTATATTTATCCTCTGAAGGAGCCCAGGTGTCTAGTGCTGAGGCCCGATGAGTCACCCTACCGCTTCCAGGTAAGGTTAGGCACCACAATACCATCTGCTTTCTGCATTTCAGCTGATTGTAATGTCTTCGATTTTAATTTCAGAAAACTGTCTTTTCTAATCCTGCATCCATCTGTCGCCACTTTCACATGACTTAAATTGAGATTAGTCCCTGAGCTATCTAAAAAGTCTCTCCTTTTTGCCTTTTAGACACCCTATTTCTGGACCAGCACTCGATGGCCAGCCTCAGAACTGGACTATGGTATGGTCCTGCTTTCACATTTTTTATGTAGTGAAAAAAAATTTAATCTCTTCAGTATTATTACATAACATGTCAAGGAGACATCTGGGGACAGATTCCTGGGCATTAAGCATATATGAAATTATGTCACATACTATATACGTTCACAGTTGTTCTCTTTACCAGCTATATTTCTAGCCAAAAAGAACATACGAAAGCAAGGTGAACTTATGGAGTATGAGAAGGTATGTACATGCATGTGGTTTATTACAAAATCAAATATTTATTTCAGTACTTGAATAACATTAGCTTATTGATATAATTAATAATTATTTGGGTACCTAAATGTATTTATTTTTAACTCAAACCTGATCTGCCACTGTTATGACACGTAAATTGGTTATATAAAGTGATTCCTTAATATCGCCAGTATACCTGGGGTAAAACGTCCACTTTGTCTTAATGGGTTAATGAGCTAAATGCGGTTCAGAGAGAATATTCTAATTTCTTACAAGTCCTTAATCAAGATACTTTCTTTCTACTTTCTTACAAGTCCTTGTAAGAAAGTAAACACACCTCTTGTGTGTGATTGGTGGTGGTCAGTAGGTACAGATTCACAGCCACACAGCTATTTGTCTGCAAGGGCAGCTAACTGAGGAGTGACTTTATGCTAATATAATGTTAATTTTAGGAGAGATATAGCATATTACACAAACGCATCAACCATACCTGGGACTTTGTTGTGATGCAAGCAAGAGAACAGCTCAGGTAGTAGTATTACACATTAAGTTGTATTTGTACATCATTGGTACTTTAACATGAATATTTGATTTTCATTTCAGAGCTTCCAAACAGCGACGGAAGGCCGATCGAATAGTTCTTGAATGTCAAGAGCAGGCTTACTGGCTCATTAACAGACCACCGGTATGTCTACTGCCACCACAGCCTCAATGTTTTGGGAAAAATATAGACAACAGATCAGTAAACACATCAAAGTGGTAATGCTGCCACTAAAACACCAGCAATCCCACTAACACTCAGCCACAGCCCTCTCCACACCGACCATGAAATATTCAATTCATCCTGTAAAAGCCTGCAGTAGAGGAGTGCACAGAGGAGAGGCAAACCAAATGAAAATGTAAATATTTTTGAATACTATTAACCTTATGTATTAGTAAAATGTGTTAAAATGTGTAACGAAATATGACAATATAACTAGGGACTTCAATATATGTTATAAGAGTGGACCGGGTAATCTAAGGACAGCATGCCGTGCCTCTATGAATAAGGGACGAGGCCATGAGTAAAAAGAAAGACAAACTTGGGAATAAAAGTCAGAGGCAGTGAAGTGAAAAGCTCTGAGTAGGCTAAGTGCTCTGTCACACACATGCTCTTCAGAGTAACACACACACACAATATGTCAACAACAAATACATGGGAACATATATGTGTTTTCAGCCTGGAGCACCTTATGCACTGGACATGGGCTTGGAGAGACCAAACAGCTTCAGCACAAGAGTTACACTGGTTAGTCATGCAGATTCTTTGTGTATTAACAATGTTTGATTTGTCTTAACTACATTGTCATATTTTTTCTTGTTTGCTTCTTGGATTGTTAAAAAGTAAGTATGTGGTGTTTTGCCTTGCTTTTCCTCAAGAAGCCTTCCAGTAATTATGGTCAAACTGACCGCATATGACATATGTGTTCTATAACAACAGCTGTGCCATCTTTGGATTTTGAATCTGTTATGCATTTAAAATATGTCATATTCATGCTTTGTTATTAGCTGACATAGCAATTCAAATAAAAAAAAATCTCTTCTATATTTAATATCTTAATAATGAAAAGTTGAAAGGTTGCAAAATTGCTTGAAGATTCCCAGGTTTTAGGGTGTGCATCAAAGCAAATGTTTTACTAAATAATTTAACATATTTTTGCCATGATGGTTTTCATGCACTTGTGACATAATGCCTCTACTTTTCTCTTAACAGAACTAGAACAGTGACTACTACAAAAGAGAGGTAAGATTATTGAAAAAGACTTCAAATGCATACTGTACATAATATAGTACAGACAACATAAAGCCTTCTAAATATATACATCTATGCTTTGTTTACAGATTGAAACCTGCAGAAGAGCTCTAGGCCGCAACCGTATAAAGTCCTCCATCTGTCTAGAGGGGTCAGTTTGACACATGTTTGCATGCCTTATGGGGACATTGACCTAGAGACATAGTTACAACTAGCATAACCTTAGTTTAAACCCCATATTTAACCCATTTTAACATATATCTTAACTTTAAACCATGTTGTTGATCTAATAATATAGGATTTACATCATGGGGACCTGATTTGTGTCCTCAAGAATTGAGTGTGTATATAGATTTTGGTCCCCACAATGTGATAAATGCCCACTCACACACACATAGATGCACACTTTACTATCACTAATGCACAGGGCCCACTGTCTGTAACTTACACTCAAAAGCAAAGGCTTAGTGCTCCTACTATAAGAGCCTCTTAATGGATGCTTCCTGAGGCAAGTTGGAATTAGTGGCCATTAACTGCTGTGATCTGCTGCAGTAATAGAATAATACTTTCTGTGTGTGCATGCGTGTGTGAAAGTCTAGGTTTGTGAAGTACAGTGAGCAGTACCAAAACCATGATCCCATTATGCAAGGTTGTCTGCCCAGTAACCCCTGGATCTCTGACGACACAGCTCTATGGACCATGAACGCAGAATCGTAAGAACACACATGTGCTATCAAAGTGCTTTGTTGTGAATAAGTAAATTGTGGTACAAATACATGTTTTGGTCGTGCCCAGAGTCCCTGTCCCCACACGGCTTCGAGTAGAGCGGTGGAGCTTCAGTTTTATGGAGCTGCTCAATGATCCAATGGGGCGGCGAGAGTTCATGATGTACCTGGAGAAAGAGTTTAGTGGTAAGAAAAATAAAACTCTGAAGTTGAATAATACAGAAATTATCCAAACTTGAGAAAAAAGAAGCTCTACTAGTATATATTATAATATAATCAGAGCTAGGTAATTCAAGAAGCCTGAGTTTCACAAAAATATCTGACTGCAATTTGATTTTGAGAAATTATATGATATCATGAATTACATTTTAATTGAGATCAAGATTCAGTCATGTTTAATTGACAATGATTTTTCATTGAGAGGTCCACAATCAGTCTGCTGTCATATGAAAGCATGTGGTTAGGAGCAGTGCTCAGACATTGGTAGAATAAATTAGGTTATTTTTTGTGTTAAATGGCACTGATTACAAGTCTTGTTTATACCAAGAAAATCATAACTAAATCATAACTAAAAATACATTTTAATTATATTTTTAAGAAAAAAATAAATACATTGAAAGTCAAGCTTGATCAATATGAGAGAAAAATGTGTCCATAAGGCATATGGCCCCAGCAATATAGTTTCAAAGCATATTAGTCCAAAACAGAAATTGGGTTATGACCCCATCTGGCCACCATACTTTATTTGTGATGATTAGTTCATGAACCTACTGGGAAAGCTCATCAGAAAAACATCTTGTTTTAATGAACATAAAACCCAGTGGTGAGAGAGGGAGAGAAACAGGGCAGTGGAAAAAGATTGCAGTCACTTGTTGTGACAAGTGAGAGCAAATCAACTCATGAATGGAAGAAAGCTTATAGGGTTAAAGCTCATAGGGCATTGTGGTAGAAATATAATTCATATTTTTTATACTTTTGCAGCTGAAAACCTGTGCTTCTGGCAAGCTTGTGAGGAAATTAGGCATGGGGAAAGCTCCAGGATAGTTGAGAAGGTGGAAGAAATCTATAAGTAAGTTTACATATATTATGCTTTCACTGTGTGAATAATGCCACTGTACGCACAGTATTTATTTTAATTAATTTATTTGTGCATTAGAAATTTCCTGGCACCTGGAGCATCTCGTTGGGTCAACATTGACAGCAAAACAATGGACAGCACTTTAGAAGGAATCAAACACCCACACCGCTTTGTCATGGATGATGCTCAGATGCACATTTACTTTCTGATGAAGAAGGTTTGAGCTCTGGACAAAAATACATGAATTACACATTTTTCAGTAAAGGGCAATGCTAATTGTGCACGTTTGTGTTGCTCTAGGATTCATACCCAAGATATCTCAAATCTGACCTTTATAAAAACATGTTGGCCAAGGCTTTAGTGCCCCAGGAGACAAAGAAAAGGTGAACATTTCTGAATGCAGTAATTTTACACTATTGCTGCTTTGCTGACCTGACCTGATCCCTTGTTACGATCTTGTTTCCAGTGTGTTTCCGTTCATGAGGCGTCAGCGTCACTCGAGCCCCTCCCCGGCTCAGGCTGCCTCTCACCCTGCAGAAGACAGCCGCTCCAGGGGGGCTGCATCTGCAGGTAACTGAGCACTCTAGGCCTGGGACCAAAAACTCACCACTTTCATCAAGCCGCCAAGCGCTCAGCATCAACTAGTAACATATCACATAATATATGGTTTAAGCACAGAACCATTGTAATACAACACATGCTACAGGTCACTTTTATTTATTCATACTCATCTGCATCTCCGGCTATAAATTTTATTTACAGTCATATTACAAGCTCCAAAAGAATTGTACAAATTGTATTTAGTCATGCGCATGTCTACCATTGTTATTCAAATTCATATATATATTTTTTTGTGTTGAAATCATTGCATCTTTTCATTACAATAAAAACTCAAATGAGCATTGTTTGTCATCATTTTTTCTATACACAAAGGTTGAATGGGGCCAAGAGTTCATCTCATGTCATTACTTTGCTCCCCTCTGCTGGAAACAAGTAGGCAAGGCAAGGCAAGTTTATTTGTATAGCACACAACAGTTTTGTCTTTTGATGTTTACCCTAAACTAATATGTAGCAAAATCATTTTGAGAATATTTTTTTGGGGTATTGCACTATTTTAATGATCATATTGATTACAGATGTGTTCAACACCATTACTGCCTTTAAGATAACATTTTATATGTACTATAGGAATATCCTGCTTTGCTTTCCTGTTTGTTTTTATTGTTGACATTTTCCAATGGATGGCGCACGATGAGGCCAACATTACACATATTACACACTGTAAAGTAGTGTTTCATCTGTACAAACAGCACTTTCATATTTCTGGGGATTAACCTAATCCGCTTCCATCCATTTCCATCCACTTTGAGCTCTAGGAAAGAACAAAACAACCCCAGTTACACCAGAGCAAATGACTCTTTCAATAGAGCAGATTTATTTTTGATATCTTAAATGCAGGAATAAATATTGATATACATTTCACAGACAAAAAGGTAATTACACATTTAAAATCATATATCATTTAGATTGAAAGACACAGTGGAAGAAGAGTTTGAGAGGTGAAATTACATCAAAGTCACAATCCACACAAGAATGCATTATATAGAGAAGGCAAAGGGGTGATTGCATTGACAGTGCAAAACCAGAAAAAATACATATTTAGAAACAGTGCAGGTCAGGGCCAATAAAATTATTTGGTCAACTTTACACAAAAGGAGTAATAGCAAATACACCAATAGGAGGCACACATCAAAAGTACAATCAAAATAGAGTTGCCATTGTTATGTACTGCATATGTAAGTAGGGACCCTGTGTAGAGTTAAATCAAAGTGCATCACAAACAGACTTGAGGAAACAAAATATAAATTGGCTTTGGAGTGTCGGGTTGGTGGTGACTTTTCCACATCTGATTGGCTACAACATTTAAGAAAATAATTTGACTGTTAGGATACAAATCTGTTATTAAGTTCCAAACAAATTATTAAAGTAAAGTGCAGTTACAAATATTAATAACATTCCTGTTATGCTTATACATAGCATATGTACATATAATGTGCAGCCAGACCAGGTCACATCATGAGGTCAAGTATCAGGTGATCTGTTTCAACCAATCACCTTAAAGGTTTCAGTAGGTTTACTTGAGTATTTTTTGTGTAACCAACATAAAGTCCACCTCATTAAGGTTACATACTATGTAACATATTAGTTCAGACGTGAAACACAGGGATGACAAAGCTTACACCAACAAGGCAAAATATTAAGACCACCAGCATTCATTTTACACTGTTTGTTCTGACTTAATAAAAAGGTATACAATGAAGTTATTATCATTCAAAGAGCATATGCACCAGCTTGGCAAAAGACCCATTAATTTGAAAGTTTTTGTTAGTTTTTCTTCTTGTAACATTTGTCATAAATATGTCATTGCATAATATACAATGTCCACAGGGGAGAATTATATATATATATATATATATATATATATATTATATATATATATATATATATATATATATATATATATATATATATATATATATATATATATATATATATATATATATATATATATATAATATATATATGTGTGTATGTATATATATATATATATATATGTATATATATATATATATATGTGTGTGTGTGTATATATATGTATATATGTATATATATATATATATATATGTATATATATGTATATATATATATATATGCATGTATATATTTGTGTGTATATATATACACACACACATTTTGTGTACATTTTGTGTGTTAGTAGACAAATTTCAACTTCCAACAAATTTCAACTATTTAGAAGTACACTATAACATTTTGGTGCCAAGAGGTGCTATTTGCTACAATATTGGCTGGTCATCAAGATATTACAGATTAATTTAATTTATTTAGTCATTTATTTTTTCTATACATCACCCTACCCTAAATTTTGCGTGTTAGAGGCCCTAATATTGTACATTCATGGGTGTACAATACAAAACAAATCATATAAATAAACACAAGCAGACATGTTACTTATGTAACTGTGTAGAGTTCATCTTTGCCACTCTCACAAAGTGTGTACCCACAAACCCTGGGCCTCCAGTTCCAGGTCCAGCTGAAGCCTTGGGTCCAGCCAAACGCCTCTCTGTTTCTCTCTTTAGGAGGTAGCAGGAAGACCACACAGACTGCCACTAGGACATGCCAAAGCGAATGTGTGTAGTAGTAGTTGTCCTCAGTCTGTGCAAAAACAAAAACACTGACCGCGATGAGGGCACAGAGGGCACCCGGCAGCAGGAAGAACACCCAGCGACGCCAGGAGGGCGGGTAGCAGTGATGGCGCCTCACTCCTCGATATACCTGAGAAGGAATCAAACATGTATTGTACATATCAATAGGGCTGTAGTTGACAAAAGAAATTCTTGGTCAACTTAGGACATGCCCATTATTATTCGACTAAGAGTGGAACGTGTCGTAGAATTAGCAACAAGCTGTTAAAGTCATTTGAACTGGAGGTGTGACGGACGACATGGACAAGATAAAATTTTTGGACTATAATAATACATGTCATCTCATTTACAGGTGTACAAATCAGGTGTTACAAGTCTCACCCAGGCAGCAACGAGGATCAACAGAGCGCAAAGCACAGGGCCTAGCATGTTCCAAAGGCCTTTGCGGTCCAGCTGCATTGACAAGGCTAACAACAGGGCTCCAAGCATAAACAGAGCCTGAATGCAAAGGAAAGTATATTCAGATATTTCTTATTTGTGTGACTGGATATTCTTGATCATCTCAACAATTTACATATTTGAAAGTGTCTTTAATCCGAGCCATGCACAGAATAGTGACCCAGATGGCACAGACAGAGCCCAGGAAGTCACAGTACTGCAGAGCATCATAGTCCATTATACACATCACAGCAACACCGGGCTGGTCACAGGCATGGTAGAACTAAGCAGAAACACACAACATTACTTTATTAATAATGATCAATACTGATGGTAAAATATTCTAATTGCACTGTGGATGCGTTACCGTAGAGAAGAACATAGTGAAGAGGTAGACAGAGGCCTCCGTGATGTAGTGCCGTTTAACAGCCACCACAATGGCAGGTATAAAGAAGAGGTTACTGATCGTGAGCATTAGAGCTGCGATAACCTGCCGACTGATGGACAGAGCTTTGGAGTCATCAGTGCATCCCCAGCCACTCCAGCCTACACACAAACCAGTTAAATATTATTAAAGGAGACATATTATGTAAAATCCATGCATGTTTGAGTAATCCTGAACTCTCTTGCATTCAAAGCTTGAGTGCTCAGAAAATTGCAGTTTATTCACATCCCCTATCTCCGCCCATAGCCCTGTATTTACCTGTGATTATAAAAAAAAAAAAACATCAGACTCTGGATCATACATGAAAATTTTTTTTAAATCCCGTTGAAATTTTTCAACAATAAAAACACATACCGTTAATAATTTTAAGCCATTTAAAATCATTTTGTGATCTGAAATGAAAAAAATCCATGCAAACTAAAATATGGTTGTGGTTATGTGCTCATACCAGCCTTGCAGCTACAGGCAGCGTAGAGGTAGGTGAAGGATCTGATGAGTCGACATTCTCCATAGGTGCCACAATCTTCAACACAGGCGCTGACAAACACCTCTGGTACAACTGACACCACTGATGCATTACCACAATCAGTGCTGGAAGGAAAACAACAATTACTAATCAAATACATTTATACTTTCAACTGAAGATGTGTGTGAGTGTGAGAGTTACCCATTACAGGTGAGCTGCAGAGTGAGGTACCATGTTGCTGACTGAGGATAAGGCAGTCTGACCACAGCTTTGGGCACACTTGTACTCACACGGATGCTGTATCCTTTGGACAGAGCTGGAAATGCACAAACACAAATACATTAGTGTTAGATTGTCTTGGATATTTTTAAATATATGTATATATTGTATGTTTTATTTTTATTTTTTCAAATGTTAAGGTTCAGCAATTGTTTGTGTACCTGTGTGACACGACACAGAGTGATTGATTTCCAGAACTGGTGTCCATGGGGACAGACAGGCTATCACACTGCTGCCGTTACCCATGGTTGCATTCGTCTACACACAGCAAACCAGAAGTCAAATAAAAGATACACACAGAATGTATTATAGAGCATGTACTCACAGAGTTGAGTGTGAGCTGGAGGTTGAGAGTGCCCCCAGTGGTGGCTGTGTGCAGAGGGTAGCTCAGCAGAGTGGGCTGTGCATTTGTGACACTGATGTTGGCTCCACTGGTGGGAGTGTATCGCACAGATAAGACATCCAGCTCCTCACTGAGCACTGGGATGTTCCACACACATGCTGTCCCCGGGGCAGGGGGCAGAGGGGAGGACGTGTTAGTAAATAGAGGCTCAGAGCTGTTCTGAGCTGATGTTGAGTTTGAAGAGGCACTGCTGCCACGGAGTTTTCTGAAATCATCACCAGCAGCAAGACCTACACTTTTGGGCTTACACTTCACTATATGAAACAAACATTCAGAATAAAAACATTATTAAAATAATATTTTTCATTCAATTGTATTAACAACACATTTACAATACCCGTGTAGTTTGAGACAATATTGAATGTCACAGTGAGGTTATTGTTATTGGTCTCCACGACAACTTGTAACCACATGTCCCATGGAGGATTGGGAAGGGTGGCAGAGCAGTGAGTCCCTGAGCAGTCCACAGAAAGTGGCTCCTCCTGCAGAGCTCTGGATCCCAGCCTAAGGACCACGGGGCAGTCCTCACTGCGGAGGTCCTCCGAGGAACAGTTACCCAGCCAGATGGACACCGAGGATGAGAACTCAGGAACATACAACCTGAAAAGGGCAATGCTTTAGTTAAGTACACACTCATGAACATGTACATTAAAAAAAACTGGCACTACTGACTTAAGACGTGCAACCCGCTTTGGGCTAGTGGTCTGCTGGAGGACGATGCCCTGCTCTAACACTGGAGTATCCACTGCTTTTCGGATCGAGAGCTGAGGCTGGAAGAAGTAGGAGCAGGACGGAAAGCCCTTAGAGAAAAAAACATGATCGGTATTAGAATAAATGTGTTTGTTGGTGAAAGCATTATGTGATCAGGTCTGCCACAATAGTTAGTAAGGTTAATCATTATAGTACTACAAAACAAAGACTATTGCAAAGAATGTAGTACGACAACTTCACAGGCAGCGTTTGCCCCTGCTCCAGAGAAACTGGTTCTAGTGAAAACACAATCATTCATAAATGTCAGAACCTAATACAGACCTTTTGCTCTATACGACCATCATCTTCAGGCAAGTGAGCAGCGATGTACCAGTCACCAGCTGCTGGGGAGGTCAGGTTAAAGGTTGTGGAGGTCTGTAATGTCACTGGCACGGGTAATTTCAAAGAATGAAGAGAGCTCCACACCGTATCTTTGGGGAACACTGTCCCAACTGGGTTTATGACTGGAGGGGCCCCCCATCGTAAATATCTAGTAAAAATAACAAAATACAAATGTTAAATAAATATAATGGTATAATTGTTGCAATTGATTTTATGTACAGACATGGACAAAATTGTTGTTACCCCTCTGGCAATGAAAGAAAAATCAACAATTGTCACTGAAATAACATAATAAATTTTAAAAATACTAAAAATTGTCCAACAAAAATCAAACATTGCTTTTCACCTATGGTTTAACAGAATCATTAGAAAAAACAAACTAATGAAATTGGCCTGGACAAAAATGATGGTACCCTTAACTTAATATTTTGTTGCACAACCTTTTTAGGCAATCTCTGCAATCAAACGATTTCTGTAACTGTCAGTGAGACTTCTGCACTGGCCAGCAGGTATTTTGACCCACTACTCATGAGCAAACTGTTCTAGTTGTCTTAGGTTTGAAGGGTGCCTTCTCCAGACAGCATGTTTCAGTTCCTTTCACAGATGTTCAAGAGGACTGAGATCTGGGCTCACAGAAGAACACTTCAGCACAGTCCAGTGTTTTGTTCTTAGGTGTTCTTGGGTGTTTTTCGCTGTGTGTTTTGGGTCATTATACTATTGGAAGACTCATGACCTATGACTGAGATCAAGCTTTCTGACACTAGGCAACACATTTTGTTCCAAAATACCTTGATAGTTTTGAGATTTCATTGTACCTTGCACAGATTCAAGACACCCTGTGCCAGATGCAGCAAAATAGCCCCAGAACATAACCAAGCCTCCTCCACGCTTCACAGTAGGGACAGTGTTCTTTTCTTGGTCTGCTTCATTTTTGCATTTGTGAACATAGAACTGATGTACCTTGCCAAAGAGCTCCAGTTTTGTCTCATCTGTCCAAAGGACATTCATTGGCTCAAACAGTGATGGATGGTGCGATCTGGCACTGAGGCACCTTGCCCTTAAAGTTCACATTTCATTTCTTTGGAGGTTGTTCTGGGCTCTTTGGTTCCATTCGTATGATCCATCTCTTTAATTTGTCATAAATTTCCTCTTGCAGCCACATCCATGTCCCTATTTTCCAGTTACTTACAATCTTTTCTAGGGGTACCATCATTTTTGTCCAGGCCAGTTTCATTAGTTTTTTTTTATTTTTATAATTCTGTTGAACAACAAATCAATAGCATTGTCTGATTTTAATTGATAATTTTTTAGGATTTTTAAAATGTATTATTGCTTTTTTAGATTAAAGTTAGTTCAGTGACCATTGTTGATTTTTCTTTCCTTACCAGAGGAGTACCAACAATTTTGTCCACGTAAGTATCTCTTGTCAAAGTAGAACAGGACGTAAATATGTATTTTGGTCTTACATGGAGACATTATACTGTCGACAGTTGAAGTTGTGGTTTTTAGTCACTGTGAACACCCAGCGGGCGACAGCGGTCTCCTCTGGGACATGGAACCTCTGAAGCCTCACGTTTCCATACCATCCATATTTTGACAGTTTTTGGGCAGGTTTGGACGAGAGCTCGGACACAAACGTCACCTGTCCATCTGCAAGTAAAACACATTACATTTTGAATTCCGACAGGTAAATCAACACAAAGAGTCTACATGGGGTAATATACATAAAACAGACAAACAGTACACACTGCCTTGATATGGACACTGCTGGTAATCACAAGGTATATACAACGCAATCAGTTATGTTTTATGTTTGATTTATGGTTGATTTTTGATCATCTGTCTTTTTACAGAACCAGAACTTTGCTAATGTACCGCCACTTTAATTGTCATTTAAAACATAGATGTAGGCTCAGTCTTTGAAGGAACATACGGTATAACATGAAGCTCAAATGCGCGAGCAAGTGCCAGATAACACACGGATATTATGACATTCTCTTCCGTCACTTGCGTGGGATAGCTTAGATCTATCCCACTGACTTTGAGTCGTCCAGGCAGCTTACCTTCCGCTAAGGTTGTAGCTGCCAACAAAAACAAAAGGAGGCAACGCAGAATAGATATTTCCATGTTTTCACATCCAATATTTCATTCATTACATCGTCTTTGTAAGGCTCAAGTGTAGCAGACATCGAAGAAAAACAACTGCAGGTGCGGGACACTTCCGGGTTTGAGTGCAGATCCGTGACGTCACAAATAGAACCCAGTGGCGCTTTTAAAGAAGTCGGAAATGTTAGTACTTTTACTGCTAAAAAAAATAAAGTGCAATAAAAATGTAATGAAATATATACACCATTCATTTACAGTTCACCTCACTGTTTATTTGTTTGAATGCAGTTCAACATCAAAATATGACCTTTTAACAGCAACTAAGCTGAGTAAATAAATATTATATTTTAATCTAATGTACATACACTGCTCAAAAAATTACAGAACACTTTGAAAACACATCAGATTTCAAAGTGAACAATATTCTTCCTTCATCTACATTAGAAATATGGATAGGGCAATCTCTTAGGAACAAAAAGTCACCTCTTTTAATGGAAATGAACAACAGGTGCACTAGAGTGGCACCAATGAGAACCTCTAAAACAGAACTGGTTTTGCATGTGGAAGTCATTTTAAGTTTCTCCCTCTTGATCTTTTGTGGCTTGTTTTCCACTAGTGTTGCTTTGGCTAGAGTGATTCTCACTACTGGGAATATGAGGCACATCAAGATGTGCGGTTTTAAGGAGATTTAATGTGTCTCCCAGCACAATCCTCAGAACATGGAGGATATTTTAGGAGACAGGCTGTTACTCTAGGAGAGCTGGACAGGGCTCTAGAAGGTCCTCAACTCATCATCAGGACCCATCTGTTCCTTTGTGCAAGAAGGAAAAGGTTGAGCACTTCCCGTGCCCTACAGAATGACCTTCAGCATGCTATTGGTGTGAATGTCTCTGCCCAAACTTAACAATCAGAAAGAGACCCACATGCTGTAGTGGGCCCTGTGCTCACCTTCAAGCACCATGGAGCTCCATTGGCATTTGCTAGACGATACCAGAATTGGAAAGCCCTCCACTGGAGCCCTGTGCTTTTCACAAATGAGAGCAGGTTCACCCTGAGCGCCTGTGATAGACGTGAAGGAGTCTGGAGAAGACAAGGAGAATGCTGTGCTGCCTGGATCATCTTCAGCATGACCTCTTTGGTGGTGGGTCAGGGTCTAGAGAAGCAGATCCATAGAAGGACACACAGACCTCTGCCGGCTAGAAAACGGCAGTCTGGCTGCCATTAGGTATTAGGATAAAATCCTTCAACCCACTGTCAGACTGGTGCAGTAGAGCCTAGGTTCCTGTTGATGCACGACAATGCCCGGCCTTATATGGTACTGCCTGGAGTATCCAAGCAGTACCTGGAGGATGAAGGGATTGATACAGCTGAATGGCCTTCACGATCACCTGACTTAAACCTGATAGAACATCTCTGGGACATTATGTGTGGGTCCATCAGATGATGCCAGGTTGCTCCTCAGACTCTACAGGAGCTCAGTGATGCTCTTATACAGATCTGGGAGGACATCCCACAAAACACCACCCGTTATCTCATTAGGAGCATGCCACAAAGTTGTCAAACATGCATACAAGCACATGGGGGCCACACAAGACAGTGAGAAGCATTTTGAGCTGCAGAAATAAAATTTTGGCAAAATGGACTAGCCTGCCACATCTTTATTTCACTTTGATTTTCATGGCGTCTATTAATTAAGCCCTCAGTAGGCTGAAAATGTTATTTCCATTAAAAGATGTGGCATCCTTGTGTTCCTAAGACATTACCTTGTCCATATTTGTAAAGATATCTAAATTTATTTTTTTTTACATTGAGATCTGATGTGTTTTCAAAGTGTTCCTTGAATTTTTTTGAGCAGTGTATACCAAAACAGAAAATTATCCCTTAATCAGCCTAGACTCACTCAAAGGATTTTGTTATTAGTTGGGTGTATTTCAAAAAGTAACCACATTTTCTTTATTATAGATCTATAAAAACGTCACATCGTCTTGTGATTCTACCCAGCACCACTGAGCATCATAGCCCAGCATCACTATACCCTCCTCTTGTGCAGTCATGTCTCTAATTGTATGTTTATTCTCAAAGTCCTTAAGTTCTATTTCCACCTTTGGGTGCACATTTTCATCTTTGGACAAACTGTAGCTGGGTTTTTCTTCTCGTCTTGAAATCCTGCTGGATCTGAGCAAAGCACTTCTAACAGGGTTAGGATCCACCTGATCTGAGTGCTGCTGAGAATCTTGTCCAAATTTAGTAGAGGGGCTGACTTCAAGCTTGTGAGCTGAGAAAATAGAAGAATGTCTTTCTGGTCTGTAGTCTTGACTCAAGTTTCCAGACACATCAGCAGTGTGTAGTGGCTCATGATTCAATTCCTCTTCTGTGTCTTCTGTCAAATCTTGTGGGCTGGTTAAACTGTCCCTATGGAAGATATGCAAAAAATTAAAAAATAATATTTATTATTTATTCATATTCTATTCCAGTAAAAATAATGATAGCCTATTGGTTGAGGGACACCATAAATACCAGTGGAATATATAATTCCACAATGTAATATTATCCTTAGCTGTGAAGAAAAACTGAAATAACTAATTGAAAAAAATGTTTATATTAATACAAGAGCTTTTCTGGTTCATTGGATACTATTTATTTTCCAATTTAAGTGTGAAAATGTTATTTAAAATAATATTCTTAGAATATGATTGTGAATAAATGTCAAGCTCCTATGTCTCTATTGTGTTCTTTCAATTTCAGATGAATGACAAAAATCTATAGGGACTAACATTACTTCAGTTCCTTATGCAGCCAGCATAATGGAAATATTTTTTTGTCTGATTTTGAAAATATTTCTGAAGACACCTGCAATTTGGCATGCTTCTCCAAAAAAAATGTTAACATGAAGTTAATAGTCTGGTATTAACCTTAACATGAAGTTAATACTGTAATAAACCCATAGGATACACTAACGCAGAGTAGTACTGTAAATGACTGACTCTCCCGCTCCCAATATAGGCAAAACTGACTTACCTATATCGGGAGCGGGAGAGTCCTAGCTCGTCCACAGTGATGAGGCTGCTCAGACTTCCTGTGAGGCTGCTGCTCTGACTGACCGAGCCCCCCCGCTCCTCCACCAGCCACCGCATGGCCTCTATTCCCTCATGCACCACCAGCAGCTGACGCAGTATACGCACATCTGTGGACCGCAGCCATCTCTGTCAACACAATAACATAAAAGACAACCATATCAGATCAGTGGTTTCCACAGTGGAGGTCTGATCATAAAGCTTTGTGATAAATCTTGTGAGATGAGTTTGCTTAAACAATGAAACTATAATTCATGTAATTGAAAAAATTGTAACTTATATGTTGGTTCATTTACCATGTATAACACAATAAACAAATAAGTGTGGATTCCCAGGTCAGTTGCATGGTTATTTTGGGGGTCCCTGTCTGAAAAATTTGAGAACCCCTCCCTTAGATGTGTTGAGTATTTCACTGAGTAAAGGGAATGCCTACACACAGGGTAATCTTAAGTTAGATATTTATGAATCATCCCATAAGATGTTTTACTAAATATGTTGGTATGAATGAGGCTGAGGATAAAATAAGACATAGGGTTAGGGTTCATTTTTGCTCACACAAACTCCCAATTATTGCAAAACCAATTTCGCCTATGTAACAATAATAACTTTGGTTATTTATATAGCGAAATACCTTAAAACAGACCTACACCAGAGGTAACTGTGTTGCCAAACAGGTTATGAGAGCTAGTGGTGACTGCCTGAGTGAATACAAGAATTCAGAGAGTGTAAATTAAAAGGCAGAGAAGAGGAGTGGTTGTAGAGATATGACAATGTCAGTCATTACACAATAATGACGAGAACCTGTTCATGAGGACGCTATTTCATCTTTCCCCTTGCATAACTACAAGGTGATTACCAGAAACAAGTTGTACAGGTTACTGAACACCATGTAGGCATACATACAAACTGAGTCAAAAGATAAACCTATGTTTATACCTATAATAAAGCAGCTTGCAAACTTATGAATTACCATTTCTTGTTTTAAGTTGCTAATTTTTGTTGACATGTCATCATTGAAGAGTTGGTTGTTTTTATGGACGTCACCACTCCATGTTCCCACACACGTGTCTGCAGCATCTTCCTTCAACCACATGAGAAGGCTCTCCGGGGTTTTCCTCCCAACTTTATTCTCCAGCTCTTTTAGATCTGGTAGGGAATTGTTTGGAAATTCTTCAGCCATCTGACGAAGTGTTGTCACGTTTGTTAGTTAAAAATGTCTCAAAAAGCGTGTGCGTAATATCCAAATGAATCCATCCAACTTGTGAGCATGGTACTAACTCTTTCTCTCACAGTTTTCTCTGGGACGACCATGAAGCGCAGAGCAGCACGTCGTGAAAACGCTGGAACTGTGAGTGCGCGCTTCATGTATCCCGCTGGCTTCATTCATACAGGTGAGGTATGACAGGTATGTGGCTCTGAACGTGATGCGGGAAAACAAAGGCGCACTTTTTGTGTAAACCTTTAAAAACAATGCAGAGAACAGAGAGGCACCTGTAACCTACAGTTTGTGCAAGCTTAGCTTATAGCAGTCACGTGGTTGAAGAGGCCTTTGCCTGTATCTAGATGTTGTTGACAAGGCATACAGACAGACTTCTAAGCCACCACAATGTTATACTCAATAACATATGCAGCAGTTTCGCGATGTTTTATCATTTGAACTATCTGTATAATTAATATGAATAATAATCAATAATATTTTAAAGTATGCTCCACAGTTATCATCCCCACCATGTTTCTGAAATCTGTGAGAGCCAGTCATCAGGAGAACATGTCCCGGACACTTCTAGTCTATGCTTTTTGGTGTATTCTGTAATGTCAACACTTGTAGGAGACAAACTCTTCTGTTCTGAAATGGTCAGTGGAGACGTTCATCAATTAGTCGCCAAATATAGAAAACAATTTATTTTGTTTATTGTCGATTCAGGTGGGTGTTTACAGCTTTTAGATCGTTTCTGTTTACTTTGTTTATGTAGACCTTCCAATACTATAGCTCTCAGGAACCTATGTTCTATGAAATACTAACAATTACTTCCATTTATTTATTTAATCATTTACAAATAAAGCATCCATGCTTAAGTAAAAATGTGAATAACATACTACAATAACACATAATAACATACAACAATTTTTTTAACGCTATACTACCCACACACCACACAGGCCCCATTATACTGTAGATTCTCCCCTCAATGACCGGTAGATGGCAGCATTTGAAGTACTAACTATTCGGCAAACACACGACTATTTTCCATTCAGAATTACCTGTGGGATTACAGCTGTTTTCCTAAATCTATAATGTTTACCCAATGAAACTCTCATTTACACTTACCATGAAAGTTGAACTTAAGTCAACACTCTGAGGTCATCCCATCTACCTAAGAGTTGTAAAAGATATATGTTTTGGTAAATTTATATAGGGGACCTCCAACCATTAATTGTCCACAAATTAACTGGGGGCCTGCGAACATTCTATACAATTACATCAGCGGGGCACTGCACAAGTACGCTATGATTTACAAACTTAGAGCAATGAGTAATGCGGAAATGGTGGGGTGGTAAAGTGAAACTCACATTTTTGACCTGACCCTGATCGAGGTAGAACCATGTGTATGTGAAGGTGCAGGCACATTGTCAAAAAACAGAGACTATGCACAGTTGGAGATTTATGCTTTTATGCATCAGGGACTCTCACTTCCAGTTTTGGGGAAATCATAAATTTAAACAAACATAAAAATTTAAGAATGTGGAAGTCAGTGAGTGGTCTCTTTAATGAGCAGATAAGACATTACTGCATCTGAATATAAGTAATTAAATCCGATACACTGAGAACTGGCATTTAAAGTGTCCTGTATTGTGAACAAGGAAACTATTATAGCCAAAATTTCTAGCAACTATGAGCCTTTAAATGGAATATGCACCGGAGGACAATGATTTGTTGCTGAAACTTGTATCTGGGCTTTGAAATAATCAAAAATATGTTTTGCTGGATGTTAAAGTAAATCCACGTAAAAACATTGTGTTTTGCGTCTTATGTCAAAGGTCAGAAAAACAGCTTCATAAATGAGGCCATGGGGTCAAGAAATCCTTTAGGTTCTTGACCCCAAACGTCTGAGAACTGCCCATGTTAACATCAGAAAATGTGATTTAAGTTGCTGGGGTTCCTGAAGAAAATTTGTGTTGCTGTTTTCAACAACAGAAGGTACAGTATTCGTAGGTTATCACTTTTGGATGAAGTCGATGAGTCAGTTTTAAAAGGTCACTGGTGACATTTTTCCCTCTTTTGTTCATTTAAAAGGTCTTAAAGGCCCACAAGATTAATGCTGGCCTCTAGACACTTTTCCTCTTTAAAATTGGAATCTTGAAATCTGTTAAACTTCACCAAGGAGATGGTCAAATTTTCAATATAGTCAACAAAGCCAAGTCTTTTGTCCATTTTCTTGTCTAGTAAAGAAGAGATGATCCAATAATTGGATCAGATTTTGGTGTGTCTATAAAGGCACAAAAGAAATCTGATCATCAAAAACACTTGCTGAAATACCTAATGAATTAGTGGATTTTAAAGTAAAAGTAACTTTATTTGAAAGACAAAAGTGAAATTAAAAACTGTTTACCTGCTAAATGAAAAACCTGACCTCTATGTAAATATGGCACTGTCCTTTAAATTAGACCTATTATGAAAAATCAACTTTTCAGAGCTTTTAAACATGTTAGTTGTTTGCCCTTTTCATTTACTTCCTCAAAAATATTTGGAACTAGAAAAGCACTCAGAGAGCGCAGACCTCCGCCAAGGACTACCCCCATTTTTTATATAAATTGCAATAAAATCAGTCTTCTGGATCAGATCCGGATCAGCCTTTGGAATATGAAAGAGGGTCCCATTGTCCATCCCTGAGTCAAATTTCATGGGGTTTGGTCAATAATTAACCGAGATATTGAGAAACAAAATTTTTGGCCCCATTTACCACAATGTTAACTAAAATTTCAAAGTGATCCAGAATCCAGGATTTCTTCCGGATCACCCCCAAAATGAAATCAGTTCTTCCTTTTCACATTTCCAACAAATCCTGAAAATTTCATCAAAATCGGTCCATAACTTTTTGAGTTATGTTGCTAACAGCAAACAAACAAACAAACAAACAAACAGACAAACAGACAAACGCCGGCAAAAACATAACCTCCTTGGCGGAGGTAATGATGCATGTTTGAGCAATCATTAATCACTTATTTTCAAGATGTCATATTGCAGATCAAGTCCCGTTTTCACCGCCATTGGGATACAACCACTGCTCTATTGGGATACAACCACTGCTCTGTATTTGCTTCGTTCTTCTATAAAATTTTCTTAATCGGTCAAATGCGTAGATTCGGCAGCTTCACATAGTCATTTTGGTACTACTCTCTAGTGTGATGTGGAAAACAATCTTCAGCTTATGGAAACATAACATACAAAATGATTGCCATATTTCTGTTGTGCAAATCTGCCTTACTTACATATCATGCTCCATAGCTTTTAATAGCTGGATTAAACATACTTGGATCATAATAAAAGGCTGTAATATATGTTTTATGGTAGTCATTTGATTAGTGGTCTCAATACTACCACTGCCATCTGTTTCCAGTTATGGACCTACAGCGAAATGAAGCGACTGTAAAAAGTAATAGATCTAGTATGTATGCAGAGGCCCATTTACATCCTGTAATTGTGCCGTGTTTATTCAGAGCATGACGGAGAATGCACAGAGCGTGAGAAGCATGTGAAAAAGCCCATGAATTTATGATGAAATGGCCATAAAGATTTAATACATCATCTACCTGTACAAACAATGGTTCTATGCAAAAATGTGCATTTATTCATGCTTGACTCCATGGTGGATTTAGTTAATGTGGAAGGCTTTACATTATAGAGAGGAGGTTAGCAAGTAACAGAGACCTATACCCAAAATTCAGTTTAGGGGCTCCTTTTGCTCGTCTAGTGTTGTCATGAAATGTCAAACTCAATTTTAATACAAAGGAAAAGGCTCAATACACTATAAGAATTTCCAAACCAAAATGATAATAAAAAACACAGTTTTTAGGCCACAGAATATCATTTTCAACAAAAAATAGAAGAAGTTCAAACAAGTAAGAGTAAAGTTTGCGAACAATTTACATGAAGGTGTTCTTTTGACAACATAATGTGGCCTTCAATGATCTAAAGGACTTTGTGTCAGCTGTTAGAAAAATGATGATGGGATCAGGCTTTGACAAGCTGGTATGGCAGTCATTATATGCATTGCATAACATTTCTTGTGGAGGGTCCTTGTCTCCACAGAAATGTTAATGCTTTGTCTAGAATGTGTATATTAAACCTGTCAAAACCTCACAAGGGAGACAAGCAGGTTGCAGTACTACGGTAGATTACATTTCAGATCTGTGGAGAGTCCACCATGGAACATTCCAGGAAAAGCAATAATATCTCTATGGACACAAGCAGGTAGCAGACCCTCCTCAGAAAAGTTGCACAGTGCACCTTTAAGCTTTGGGGCTCATTGCGGCTATGGGTCCCTCTGCCTATCTCTGTGCATAGTGCTTCCAGATAGAAAGATAGAAATGATAAACCCAAAAGGAAGTAGACAAAATCAGATGTTGTGTACTCAGATGAGTGGCACCGGACAGCCTCTGATTTCAGGTTGGATAGGAACCCCCTTAGGAGCCCATTCACCAGGGTCAGTGCACACGAGCACATTAACATTCCTAGATAAACAACCCCAGGGAGTAGCACTGTGGGGACATTAAACACGATTTTCCGAGTGTGTTCAGGCTTGGTTCTGGTATCTCCATCCATGGCCCCAGGTAAAGCAAAGGTCAGAGAAACCGTCACGTCTCTGTATTCCTGAGGGAGAATATAAATCCCTGGAAATGTGTGGATATCAGTGTAGGATTAGCTGATGGATTTTCAAGGGCTGCTGTAAAGCCAAGTAGTTTGCAATGTACTGTCTTTAGCAGCACTGAACCTTTGGGGTTTAAGAATGTACCATGTTTTTGGCACATGTGCTGGATTATGAGGTGAAGTACCAAACATAATTTTATCATGACAGAATGTTCTCCTGATGGATTTTGCTGAAATAATTCTCAAGGGCCAATATTGCTCTATTTTTAAAATCTCTATTATAATGTTGTTTTCACATCCAAAACAGACCTGGAGTTGTGTTTTGTTTCATTCAGACAAATTTAACACACAAACCATGCAGATTTAGGCTGAGTTCTACTCTCAAACAGGAAACACTCTGTTCTACCTTGTGATGTCATCTGGTAATACAGGAAGTGCTTCACTGTGTTTTTAAACTCCTTCAGTAGAATAATTTGGATGATTTCAGCCCTTGAAT